TAGTATAGTAAGCATAGAAAAAGTCATAAAAATTCATAGTTTATAATAAAGCATTAAACATCATAGTATAGTAAGCATAAAACTCATACTAATAGTAAGCATAAAATTCATTAAAAACTCATAGTATAAGTAAGCATTAAAATGTCATAAAAATATCATAGATAGTAAGGCCCATAAAAAACGTCATTTAGTATAGTAAGAGCCATAAAATGTCAAAAAACTCATAGTTAGTAAGCATAAATGTCAAAAAACCACCATAGTATAGTAATGCATAAAATGTCATAAAACGTCAAAGATATTGTAAGGCGTAAAACTGTGAAAAAAACGTCATAGTATAGTAAGGCAGAAATGTCATTAAAAAACATCTATTAGTAGAAGCATAAAAATTCATAAAAATGTCATAGTATATAAAGCATTAAACATCATTGTATTAGTAAGCATAAAAACGTCATAGTATAGTAAGGCATAAAATGTCATAAAAATTCTACTATAGTAAGGGCATAAAAACGTCAAAAAACGTCCATAGTATAGTAAAGGCATAAAACGTCAAAAACTCATAGTTATAGTAAGCATAATAATTCATAAAAATTCATAGTGATAGGAAGGCATAAAAAACGTCATAGGTATATTTATGCAAAAATGTCATAAAAATTCATAGTTATGTAAGGCACGTCATTAGTATGTAAGGCATAAAAATGTCAAAAAACGTCATATATAATAAGCATAAAAACTCATATAAGTAAGCGTTGAAAAACGTCCCAAAACGTCATAGTAAGTAAGGCATAAAATGTCAAAAAACTCATAGTATAATATCATAAAACGTCATATATAGTAAGTTGAAAAACGTCTCAAAAACGTCATAGATTTCATAGTAAGCATAAAAAACGTCCAAAAACGTCATGTATAGTAAAGCAAAAATTCATAAAAATGTCATAGCATAGTAAGGATAAAACATTCATAGTATAGTAAGCATAAAATGTCATAAAAATTCATATATATTAAGGCATAAAACTTCAAAAAAACTCATAGTATAGTAAAGCATTTAAAAAACGTCAAAAAAACTCATAGTATAGTAGCATAAAATGTCATAAAAATTTCATGTATACAAGGCATAAAAACGTCATAAAAACATCATATGTATATAAGGCAATAATGTCATAAAAATTCATATCATAGTAGGCATAAAAACGTCAAAAAACGTCATAGTATGTAAGGCATAAAAACGTTCATAGTATTAGTAAGGCATACAAATTCTATCAAAAATGTCCATAGGTAGTTAAGCATAAAAAAACATCATAGTATAGTAAGCATAAAACTCATAGGATATAAGGCATAAAAGTAAAAAAATTCATCAGCTATATAGCCATAAAAAACGTCAAAAAAATCACTAGTAATAGTAAGCATAAAAACGTCCAAAAAACTCATATTAGTAAACCTTACTATACTATGACGTTTTTATGCCTTACTATACTATGACATTTTTATGACATTTTATGCCTTACTATACTATGACGTTTTTGGACGTTTTTATGCCTTACTATACTATGACATTTTTATGACATTTTATGCCTTACTATACTATGACGTTTTTATGCCTTACTATACATGACATTTTTTATTGACATTTATGCCTTACATATACTATGACGTCTCCTTTATGCCTTACTATACTATGACATTTTTATTGACATTTTATGCCTTACATTACTATTGACATTTTTTGTGACATTTTATGCCATGCTATACTATGACGTTTTTATGCTTACTATACTATGAACATTTTATGCCTTTACTATACCTATGACTTTTTTTGCCTTACTATACTATGACATTTTATGCCTTACTATACTATGACGTTTTTCTATGACATTTTATGCCTTGCTTATACTATGACGTTTTTATGCCTTACTATACTATGACATTTTTATGCCTTACTATACTATGACGTTTTTTTTTTGGACGTTTTATGCCTTACTATACAATTACTTTTATGGCATTTTTACGCCTTACTTACTATGACATTTTTATGACATTTTATGCCTTACTATACTATGACGTTTTTATGCCTTACTATACTATGGACATTTTTTATGACATTTTATGCCTTACTATACTATGACTTGTTTATGACATTTTATGCCTTACTTATACTATGACGTTTTGTTATGCCTTACTATACTATGGATGTTTTAATGCTTTATTATACTCTGACGTTTTTTGACATTTTTATGCCTTACAATAACTATGACATTTTTAAGACATTTATGCCTTACTATACTATGACATTTTATGACATTTTTATTCCTTACTATACTAGACGTTTTTTATGCCTTACTATACTATGACATTTTATACATTTTATGCTTACTATACTATGACGTTTTATGACGTTTTTATGCTACTATACTATGACATTTATGAATTTTTATGCCTTACTATACTTATGACGTTTTTATGCCTTACTATACTATGATGTTTTTAATGCTTTATTATTACTATGAACATTTTATGACATTATGCCTTACTATACTATGACGTTTTTATGCTTTATTTATACTCTGACGTTTTTTGACATTTTTATGCCTTACTATCCTATTACATTTTTGGACGTTTTTATGCCGTACTATACAATGACGTTTTTATGACATTTTATGCCTTACTATACTATGACGTTTTTTGACGTTTTTATGCCTTGCTATACTATGACATTTTTTGATGTTTTCATGCCTTGCTATACTATGACGTTTTTTATGTTTTCATGCCTTACTATACTATGAGGTTTTTTGACAGTTTCATGCCTTACTATACTATGATGTTCTTGGACGTTTTCACGCCTTAATACACTATGATGTTTTTGGACATATTTTTGCCTCACTATACTATGTCTTAGTATACTATGACTTATGACCTATATGTCTTTATACTGAGAGTGATGTTACCATATGTGTGGCGTACAGGAGGATATATTATAATGGAATTCATATATATCTTCTGGATACATGAATATATAAGTTTATAACACATGAAATAAAATGCAATAAAGCAAAGCAGTAAAATGCAACTTTATTAAAAGAGAAGATAAGATATTCCTTTATTATTCCCACAGTGGGAAAATTATAGTATTACAGGAACAAAGTGACAGCATAAGAAAGAAAATACAATGAAAAGTCAGTACCAAGTACTAAAAAAAGATAAAAATAATAAAGAATATAATAATATAATATGTACAATTAGACAATAAATATAACAAAACACAAGACAATAGCAGCAGATAAGTAACATTGCACAGTAAATCATTGCACATGTTGAATTATTGCACACAGTGATTTGTCAGTCTTTGGTATCTGTGTGTATAGTTCACAGTGTGCAGTGTTTGTACAGTTTATACAGTTTGACAGCAGCAGGAAGGGAAGACCAGTGGTATCTCTCCTTCACACACCACAGGTGCAGCAGCCTGTCGCTGAAGGGGCTGCTCAGTGCTGCTAAAGTGTCCTGCATGGGGTGGGAGATGTTTTCCAACAGGGATGATAGCTAAACCATCATCCTCCTGTTGCTCCACTGGGTCGAGGTGGAATCCCAAGACATAGCTGGCCTTCCTCATCAGTACTATGACGTTTTTATGCCTTATTATACTGTATTGTGACTTCCTGGCCCTGGAGCCTTTCTCTGTGAAGTATATGACTAATTGTTCTATGACTTTTTTTATGACTCACTATACTATGACTTTTTTATGCCTTACTTTACGATGACGTTTTTATTTTATTTTATGACTTACTATACTATGTATAGTAAGTTATAAAAACAACAGTACAATAAGGCTTAAAAACGTCAAAAAACATCACAGTATTTTAAGGCAACGTAATAGTATAGGAGGGCATAAAAATATCTTAGTATAGTAAGGCATAAAAACATCAAAAAACATCATAGTAAAATAAGGCATAAAAGCGTAAAAAAACATCATAGTACAGTAAGGCATAAAAACGTCAAAAAACGCCATAGTATAGTAAGGCATAAAATAAAATAAAAAAACATCAAAAAACATTATAGTATTGTAAGGCTTAAAAAGGTCAAAAAACATCATAGTATAGTAAAGCATAAAAACGTCCAAAAACGTCATAGTATAGTAAGGCATAAAAAGTCATAAAAATGTCATAGTATAGTAAGGCATAAAAACGTCATAGTATAGTATGGCATAAAATGTCATAAAAACGTCATAGTATAGTAAGTCATAAAAACGTCATAGTATAGTAAGTCATAAAAACATCATAGTATAGTAAGGCATAAAACGTCAAAAAACGTCATAGTATAGTAAGTCATAAAACATCAAAAAACTTAATAGTATTGTTAGGCTTAAAAATGTCGAAATGCCATAGTACAGTAAGGCATAAAAACCTCATAGTATAATAAGGCATAACATGTCATATAAACACTGAAAAACGTCATAGTAAATAAGGCATTAAAAATGTCATAGTCACCAAATTAATTGCTGACATGTTTTTATTTGTAGAGTAATTCTCAAATTAGGATTGGATTTGAAAAACTTGCTTACAATTAAGTTTTAACACTAGTAAAAAACAAGCAGACACTCAGTTTTTAGTGTGGATCAGTGTCCTGGACCTCAGTGTGTATCCTAACCTTTCCGTTTTTACCATGAATGTTTTTCTCTCCATGTGAAAAATGCATGATGCTCTTTGCTGGTCATGATGCTATCGTCCTACTAGCAGGGATGTGGGAGTATTGCGGCAACAATAACATTGCTGCCTTTGAGGAAGTGCTTTGTTGTTCCTGCTGGTGTGCCTGTATCAGCAGATGACTTTCTGATGTGCTGGTAGAAGTCGTCTCTTCTCTGCGGGAGGGAACTAACAAACTGTAGCGTCTGATGGCTTCTCTCCACTTACCCTGCTCTTTGTGTACTGACACACACCAACCTGTACTCTCAAACCATCGCTGATGCTGCTGTCTGTGTGCACATCCTTCATCTGTATGTGTGTCCTCCTCAGGCTGATGAGCGGTACCGGAAGAACATCCAGGGTTCTCCTCAGTCAGCTCAGACCAAACCACAGCAGCCTCCGGTGCCGCCGCGCTCCGAGTCTTCCTACCCCAATGGGAACTCGGCATCCGAGGCACCCGCCATGCACCGTCCCGTGGAACCACAGGTAACTACAATAACCTCAAACCCCTTTCCCTTTCCCTTGAACTATTCCTTCTTCTTGACTCTCACAGCTGTTAAACACAGGCAGCATTTTGAGTTAGTGTCAAGGTCATTTTACACTAGTTTAGTGCCTAATTGGCGTGAGTTAGCAGTTATGATATACAGTAAAACAATTCAGTCTGCATATTTGGTACTTTTATATTATATTTCTCTCTTGATCATTGGGTAGATTTCTGGTCCTGTCATTCACTGCAGAGAATTGAAAACCCTCTATCTCTGTTAAATGACAGTTCATTAGGAAACAAGAACGTCAGCCTTTTTTGTATCTTCACCCAAATGTGACTCCAGATGCTGCCTGTGAACCTAAACTCTTTTCACACCTTATCATATTTAAGGTTCTTTCTTTCAGGTGATTCAACATACTTGAGTCTTTGCTCTTGCGCTTTGCGGACGACTTGCTTGTATTTGTTTCTAACCTCCTGTAGATGTTTTCACTAGTTGTGCTGTTTGACTGTGATTTCCTCTGTCCTGCGTTTTGCCTTCAGCTCAGCTCTTTTAGGTTGTTTCTTTGGATAATGGATCCAGCTATCTCCTGGTGTTGAACTTCAGGGTTGTCATTAAGTATTTTTTAGTTCCCTTATTTTAACTAACTAAATTGTGACACTGCATTAAATCTCCAGTACCCATTTTCAGTAAGAGGAGCTTGTTGTCATGAGAACACAAAGCGAGTGATCACTTCATCTAAAAGAAGTCTCTCTTTTTACTAAACTTTCTGTGGCAATGGAAACAAAATGATCACAACCTTGATTATATACTCCTCCCCTAAACTAACTCTTTGATTGACAGGTAGTCCTCCCACTTGCCAAATGTGTAATTATTACAGCGTTTCTTGTCTGTGTGTGTTTGTGTGAACATGAGGATGTTTGTCTGGCGGTACGTTGGGGGTTTGTACATCTCAGCTCCACATACTGTACCTCCTCATTGTGTGCGGGTGATTAAAAACATCCATAATTCATGGGCACCCAGATTTGCAGCAGGGTGACTCAGGCAGTATTAGTCATCTTCAACCCACTATGCATGAATAATCACAAGTCAATGAAGTCAATCTGTTTTGAATATGTCACACAGATTAAATTATATAGACACGATGCTGTAACTTGGTAAAATGGGGGGTAATGATGTAAATCACTGGTGCAGTATTAAACATTTGCCATAATGTTAAAAGTGGATTAATCAGTTTTCTCTCATTAGCCGCGAGTCATCAGGCTCAGATGTGCCGTTGTGTTTCAACACTGATGCACACGTACTTCACTGAGTCGTGAATCAAACTTGGACGGGTTCATTTTGAGGTGTTTTGATCAGGGCTAATTATATAAAAATGAAAATTACAGTCTGAACTACTTCAATTTCCAAGTTAAAAAAAAAAACTATAACAACAAACAAGAAGCTGTAGTCAGGGAGTGTTCATGCTGAATCCAGTTTCCAGACACTTCACTGGCATTTAAATTCAGGAAATGTTTTTTATTTCCAACAAGTTTTCATACTTAAATGGCAAAATAAGTTGTCAGTGCAATCCTAAATGACACTAAAACATCTTATATGAGCTTTAACTGACCTGGCACCTCTGGTTCAGTTTAAACAAGTTTAACTAAAACTAAGTGGTTAAAGTGAAAGAATCCAAGTTGACCGCAGTGTCTAGTGTCGACCATGAATGTGTGCATGCTGTATGATCTGTGTTTGCATGCCAGCCTGTGTTCATGTGTTCATGCTCGGTACTGGTGGTGAGGCTCAGTCCTCCTGAGTCCTAAAACTGGTGACACCGAGGTTGTCTCATTGTAAACACCAGTCTCACTTAGAAGTGATGTAAATTAAATTGGACAAGAGACTGAATTTTAAAGCAGAACATGTACTAAGACGCCTCCCTTTATCAGTTTTAAATAATAATAAATATTTTATATATTTATATATAATTCTTAAATCACTTCCTCTGAAGGTCTTCTGTGAAATGAAAAGTATGTCAACAGTTTAAATACTTTTGCTGAGATGAAGTTTTTCCTTGTTATTAATGTTTTTCCCAATAGTACTAGTTTTTTATTGGGATGACTTTCTTATCTCTGCCCTATTGTTATCAATTATTCTGAACATTCAACAAGTTGAGTACAAAAATTAAATACAGTAAAAGGATGTGATTCAGAATGACCATAGAAGGGGAAAGATGACTCAGGATCCACTCAGCTTCATCTCTCCATCTACCTCCTGTGCTTTTTGCTGTTGTTACTGTCTTTAAAAAAAAAAAAAAAATCTTTCCCCATGTGTCACTTTCAGAAATCTAAAGTATGATATGCTACCTTTTGTTGCTCAGGCTCCACCTTTTTCTCCATCAATTAATAACTCAAGTTGTGGCTGGAATAAAAACTCTTACAATTACATACAATTTCCTTTCTGAGAAAAGTGTAGCCTCAGTAACAACAGGTACAGCTTCTACGTATGTACGTGACTGTTCTTCTTTTCTCCTGTTGCATTTTAAAAACCTGGGTTCTTTTGGGGCTCTGCTAAGATTTGGAGCCATACCTTTTTAACCATGTGCCACCGAGGCCAAAAGGTCTTCAGGTTTTATCTCCAAACAAACATTAAAACAGCTGTGCTGAAGTGCTCTGGGCACAGAGGACCAAGATTGAAAATCACTGCATTAGAGTTACTTAAAAGAAAAAAGTTGCCACAAAGAATCTCTCTAGCCCCTTTCAGACATGCACCCTGTAGTGTAAACATGGCATCAACTTTACATTACATTAATTTCTGAATAACAAGCTTTAACAAGTCACTTTAACATTCCACCTTTCATCAGGCTGCAGCAGCAGAAGGTTAAATACACATAGATATTACATGCAGGTCTTTTTCCGCCTTTTTTAAAAGCTCTGTGATACATCTATACATACTTAATCTTAATCTGTAGTTCCAATTTACAGATGTCCTCTGAATGCCTCACATGCAGACTATTGGTAGACAACGAGCACAGCGAAGCCTGTTGTCCCCACTCAGTTACTGCAGCACACACTTGTCAAACTCAAACAGGTTTGTTACCAAAACTTAGCTCATTTTAAAAGAACAAAATAAGGCGTTCTAATGAAAGATTTACCTAAGTTGAAACTGAGTGATTTTATCTACCTGGGTGGGCCACCCAAGTAGAGCCTGTGTATGGGAAACACTGGGTGTGTCACGACTGAATAAAGCCATAATGAAGACCTAATTTTGGACGACATGAAACCAGTAATGTTCAGTCTACCAAGGTTTAATTTCAGTCTTCATGTCAGTGTTCTTGAAGCTTTTACAGAGGGGTTCCTCAAGGAACTGTTTTAGGCTCCTGTGTATGGCTCCAATCTTACAAACCCCTAAAGATACCCCGAAACCCCTTTTCTTTGCAGAGTGCTTTGCATGCAGACTGACCCGCCCTCCCCCAATGTGTTCTGTTTTTGTTGTCTGTAAGGTCCGTTCCCATCTGGCTGCTTTAAAGAGCAGCGGCAGCGTGGCCTCAAACTCCTCCGCTGCCACCCCGCCCGTTGTGTCGCGGTCGCACTCTTTCAGCGAGCCGCTCACCCCTAGCTTTGAAAATCTTCACCTTCGCAACAGCCAGGAACCCCATCAACACCACCACCCTCCATCTTCATCACCATCCTCCTCATCATCATCATCAACGCCTGCACGCACTGACCCACAACCCCACCCCCAGCCCCAGCCTAGGCCCTTGCCCCATGAACCGGCCCCTTCAGAGGAGGTCCCACCCAGGGTAAGGACAGGAACAAAGACCCCCGGTGTAGCCTGGCAGCAGTAGTTAGATATTTTACACAATTTTCTGTTAACTGACCGAATGAGACGCTCGTCCTGATTCCCAAGAGATCAAACTGTCATTATCTTCAACTGTTCAATTCATCACTTTAATAGCTTCCCACCCTCTTGCCTTATTCTTTCTGCTATCAATAATTCATTCTTTTCTAGTGGTGCAGAAAGGGGAATTATAGATGATTTAATTAAATCCACCTTAAATTAACATAAAAGTTTTTGAAATGAGCAGGTCTGTTGGAGGCTTTAAATCACTTTCCCTCCCCATATACAGGATTCAGTGTCCTGAGGAAATCGCTCTGATTCTATTTCACTGATTCACAGGATATCACAAGACAGAGGAAGTCACCATCACTCTGTGTGATATGAATCAGTGTTGACACAAACAGAGGTGGCCTGCTGTTAATATGACCACAACACTCAGTCTGTGACCCCTTTATAACCCAGCTGCAAGTACTGAGACAATGTTGAACACCAGGACATGTTGAGACAATCTGTTTCATGTTGCTTTTTCTTCCCTCACCAAATTTAGCCATTCACTGTATGACCACAAGGACATAAAAAGAATATAAAATAACTACGGAGAGAGAAAAATAAGCAAAAAGAGGAGAGAGTTCTTTATTTAAAACCCTTTTTTCCACCTGAATGTATAGGGCGTTGGATGCTCTTGCTAAGTATAGGAAAGACAGGGATGCTATTTGACACTACCCACAAATGTGGGCAGTGAGAAATCAAAGAAGTTCAGGAAGATCTAAATTTAGTCCTCGAAGCCAAAGTTATCTGTCCTTCAGAAAAGGAAACCCTCTGTTATAAACAGAACTGCTGCCAAGCCGAACCACAACCCTGTCGAAACTTAACTGTATAGCACATAGACTTCCAATACTGCACAAACATCAGGTGAACGATGGTAGACGTCATTTCAGTCTTGAAATACGTGAGCAGGTTGTCGCTGAGGAAGGACTGACCTTTCATTAACATCAGTCCATTTCCATTTTGTCCCCAACTTCAACTTCTAAACAAAGCAAAACAATTGCTGTTCATGTTATTCTCAATGACACTGGCTGCACTGACTGAGCTGAGTTCTGTTGTGCACGGCTGTGCATTGTGTGGTGTCGCGCTGCGCTTTGGATGCTCTCATATGTTCTGCATTGGCTTTACTGCACTGACACGTGGCTCAGGGTGAAAAATGTGACTGTGTGTGACCGATGACTACTGGTGTGTTTTACAGTGGTGCTCTGGGTGTGGTAGGGAGAGATGAAGACTCAGAGGATGGAGGGTGACTTGTCTAAATTTTGTGATGCATGAGTGGGATTTTAAAAGGATGCATTTTTAGAGAAGTCCCATATTCTCATGGTAAACAGGTTGTATCCAATTGTTATCTCAGGTGAACGAGCTGCCATATTGGAGATTAACAGCTCATAAACAACAGTGACTGTGATGAAATTAATATTTCTCTGTACAGCAAATAATATCCACTGTCACTGCCTTGTTTTAAATAAATCTGACTATCCTGCAGGTAAAATGCTGAACTATAGACAAGACGGAACACTATCCTCTCAGACTGTTCACTTTTATCTAGTTTAACACTTTCCAATGTGCTGTGAACACTGTTAACACACCAGCCGACAAGTTATCATTTCCTATGGGTTATCTGACTACATTAGCTTGGCGTGGTGCTCCAGAACTTTTCCAGTGGACGAGGTTGGTGTTAGTCAGGGTTGTTGTGACGCTGCTGTGAAGCCGTTATAAAGAGGATTTTGATGGGTTGAAACAGGTTTTATGTATTTTGTGTGTTCACCGTACTTATCTAGTACGCTCATGCTCAGAGAGAGTGTATGTGTGAGCTGGTCACTGTCTTTATCATGAAAGGTTCCTGTCAGGACTACATCAAGGTCCCCGGTGTTGTCGAGGCGAGACTCGCCTCATCACCACGGCAACGCCTCACACAGCAGCCATGTTGTTCATCGCAATGCCGGCAGGTAAACTGACATAACCCACTGATCTGTATGATTCTGTGTTTCTCTTACGGTCTTTGTTTTTGTCCTCACACTCTTTTTCTCTTCTCTCTCCATTACTCAAGTCTCCTCTCTGTTGTAATACAAGCACCAAATCTAATTAGTCTTGTGGTTTGGAAACACATAAATGAACTAGAGAGGATTTCCTGAGGAAAAAAAAAACCCACTGTCATACTGTATCCATTTAATATTCATTGACTTAATGTATTTCACAAATTTTCAAATGTAAATACTGTTATTATGAGGTATTCTCAGTCCTTGCTTTGTGTGACACTATATGGTTTCTGAGGAGTGGTTAAGTGCTTAGTGAGTGAGTTGTCATTGGTGCTTAGTCAGAGAGCAGTACAGAGCATTTTGAAATTAAAGAGGAGTTTTTACTGTTTGGTGACAATTATAGGGACAAACTCCATGAACTCCATACTGTATGCTTTAATGAATTACATCACTAATAGTAAATCAACTGTAACAATAACAATAACCGTACATAGCACCATTATGAATTTATGCACAATTGTTCGGTTTGAAATAGTAGAGTTTCTATGGTGTAACATGGACAGTGTATGTATAAATATAATGCATGTAATGGATAGAAAAATGAAAAACTCTTGAGTATAAAATTAATAAACTAAGTCCATCTTCATCATATAAAAACTATTAGCGATACAATCAAAAACCTGTATTTTTGCCATAGCTTATTAATTATGTAAAAATTAATGAATCCCTGAATCTACACACAGTCCATAAAAGGTCTTTAATTAGCATCAAATTACAGATGAGAGAAAAATATATTGGATAAAACTGGGCCCAGAATCGTGCTCTGTAGGACTCCACTGGTTATATCACTAGAAGAGAATATATTAGCGTAGTTACTGTATGTTTACACAGAACATTTTATGGAGGCTGACTCAGTCTGAGGCTCTGACACAAACAAAGTCATTTGCAGCCTTAAGGAGATGAGTTGAAGCGCTGTGAAGCAGCGTGAATCCAGGCTGCTGTTTTCAACTATGTAATTAAAAAGACATGAAACACGATGACTTTCTCGAAGACTGGAGAAAAAAACAAACACTTGCCTTGTTTTGAGACAGATCTAACACACACACACACACACACACACACACACACACACACACCACACACACACACACACACACACACACACACACACACACACACACACACACACACACACACGGCTGGAGAGGATTGTGCACTCAGTGTCCTCACTGTCTGTCTGTGCTGCTATAGTCCTGGTGTATGGAGTTGTGTGGGAGGATTTATGTAATAGTGGTAGCTGTCTAACCCGTGATACTTCTTTACTTGTGTGAGTGTGTTTACACACATGCACAGGCACAGTTTTCTATTTCCAAACCACAAGCCTTCTCATGAGACTTTCTGTGTCATCTCTTTCTCTTCCTCTACCACTGTGGTGCTGTATGTTATTTTTTCTCTAGAATGACACATACCCTGCACTCACTGTACTATTACTTATTTAGCATATTTGTCCTCCTCATCATGAGCCTCGGACATAATCTAATGGCCATTACAGAGAGATAATTAATAAGAATAAAGTGTTTTTTAATCTGAAACAGAATATATCTTTTATGTTTAATATTAAACCACATTCATAATCTATTTTCCACTGTGGTTTAGAGTAGCTGTGTATATGAGTGTGTTGTGATGCCTTTAAAGACACTGTAGTATTCATTCAGATTATTTTTCAAAACAAAAAGGTGGGAATTTACATATATTTGTTTGGAAAGCAAAAACTGGTTTGAAATCCAGCAGCCATAATGGGGAAATTTGAATTGAATGATATTTAAGTCAGTACTGCAAAGTGCAGTAGGTGCAACAGCTCCTCTCCGACGTTGCCAGTTAAACGTGGCTGTCTCTACAATGGCTTCATCTCTTGACTGTCTTGGCTCTACAGTGCAGCGGAGCCTCGGCTACTGTGGGAGCGAGTGGAGAAACTGGTTCCCAGACCAACCAGTAACAGTGGCAGCGGAGGCTCCAGTTCCTCCAGCAGCTCCAGTAACTCCAGCTCTCAGCCCAGTTCTCACTGCGGCTCTGGAGAGAGGTTCAGGGCCCGCTGTGAGTCCACACACACTTTAACAAATCAGCACTCACAAACATGCAGGAGGTGGACAAAATACCTGAAACACCACCTGAACATACTTCAATATAGACACCACACACAGGTGAACACACACGTGCACATTTTCTCCAACGACATCACATTTTAGAAAAAAACTGACCGTTTCACCTCCGCCTCCTTCAGCATCTTCCAAATCGGAGGGCTCGCCCCTCCAACGGCCAGAGAATGCTGGGAAAAAACCAGAGGAGAGGAGGGACTTGGTCAGGCCGAGCAGACCAGCGGTGAGAGTTGAATCAAAGCTGACTGGACAGCACTGTAGCTCGCTAGCTGGGATAGATCTAGACCTAGAACTGTGTGTGGTGATAGAGTGTGAGTGATGATTTGACGTGGCCTGATGGCGATTGTTCTCCTTGGCTTTTTATTTTGTGTGTGAGAGAATAATAACTGGATTCTTTGGATTGTGTCATGTGATCTGCTCACCATCCAATGGAGACTTTGTGAACTGGATGTTTTTATCTTTGGATTGATCACTGGCTGAACGGTATTGCTTGCTTTTCCTCCACCGGTCTCTCTGGCTCGGCAGCAGCCATCTTAACACACGCCTTCTCTAACCAATAAAGAATTTACATTCTCTTCTATACTGTTATAATTTTTCATCTTTGCAGCTCTAATAATTGTCCCATTAGAATTAATCCACTAACCTCAGCTACAGTAGCTTGAAGAGCATCAGCTGTACGACAATCATCTCTTTCCTGGCTTCATGTTTTGGCTTTGCTGCTCTCACGTTGGCTTCACATTGGCTGGTGTACCTCTGTAACCACTCTTCCTCTCCTCAGCAGCTTTTTGTTTCCTGCTTTACTTTTTTCAAAGAAGATGAACTGAAAATCTTACATGAAGTCTTAGCTGACAGTTGACTGAGTGAATGGACAGACTTCCAACAAAGGGAGAAAAGTAGAAATCACTGACCGTTGACCCTGGTTTTACCTTTCACCACCTGACTTTTAGGACCTGACGGCTCTGGCCAAGGAGCTGCGTGCGGTGGACGACGTTCGCCCCCCAAATAAAGTGACGGATTACTCATCCTCCAGTGAAGAGTCAGACACCACCGATGAAGATGACGACGAAGAGGTGGACCAGGAGGCAGGTGAAGAGTCGACCTCTGGCCCTGAGGACTCCAGAGCTGTGTATGTACTCAAGAGTAACTTATCTCACAGTAACGGTAACGATCACTAACAACAGTACGGATCAGCTTCCTCTTACACAGAACCACGTTGGTTCACGTGAAACTTCAAAATAATCAATATAGCGACTAACTTTTTCTTTATGTTCTACCAGCGTGGAACAAAATACAATTATTTTTCCCATAATGCATTTGTGCTGAGTAGCTCTCCTTCTGTTGTTCAGTTCTTCCAGGTTGAGCAATGGAGAGACGGAGTCAGTGAAAACCATGATTGTCCACGACGAAGGCGAGAGCGATGCAGGCTCGACGCCCTGCAAAGACAGCACCCTGATCGTCAGACAGGTACAAGCTGAGAGAAGAAAAAAAATCAGACAAACACACCAATCATTTACCACATACTTTCAGTTGTTTTTTTTGTGTATTTTGTTCATTCATACCCCCGAGTGTTTTTCCATTTTGTTTATGTTGTGTTGATCATGTTCTGTTCTTGCATCCTCTGTAGCTCCAGAGTATAACAGAGTTACAAAGCAGTTTAGTGTAGGTTGGGTACACAGATTTTAATTATTCACATAATTAAAACTGCGAGCATATTCAACAATGGGAATTTATTACTTTATCAAACATCAATTGAGGTTTGTTACATTTTCAGTCTATTTAGATTTACACACTTAGAAGTTGTGTCATCAGTTAATACACACCACAAAAAGGTATTATTTCTAGAATCAATAAACTTATCAATTATCTTACTATATAATTAACCACTAACAAGAGTTTTCTTTCCGCCTGTAGACTAGCCACTGTAGTTTGCCCTTTGCTCTAGCTAACACTTTCCCTTCCCCTGAACTAATCAGGAACACATCTAGACCCAAAGTCGTCTACCCCTCTTTCTACTTCCAGAGTGCAGGTGACAACAGAAAGCGTCCGGGCCCCGGTCCGGGCCAAGCCCAGACCCCTGTCCTGCTTGCAGGCTTTCCCCCAAGCCCCGGCTCGGTGCCGGGCCCGGTTCTTGGCCACCACACCCCCAGCCCCCACCATCATCATCATCACCACCACCACCATCCCACACAGCACACGGACAGGAACGGCTTTGCCGGCCGCATCCATCACCTCCCAGACTTGATCCAGCAGAGCCACCATTCCTCCCCCTCCTCCTCTGCATCCAACTCCCCTTCCTCCTCCAGCCTTGCCAGCCCCTCCTCCATGTCCCCCCAGAGTCCCCTGGACAAGCTCAGCATCCTCACAGAGGTATGTCTCCCAGCCCAACACGGAGGCCTGCTTAGGGGCGCCATTTCATGTGCAGGAGAGGGAAAAAGAGTCAAAATCATCACTACCTGCCATAACTGGGAACACAGTAGAGTAGAAATCAGCTCACACAGTTCATTAGTAGAACTAATACTGTTATTTAAAAACAGATGAATCTGCTGATACTTATGTTCTTTCCACACTTCTGTGGAAAGTAGTATTTCGAAGTATCTGCAGATGATAATGTCTTCTCCTGCATCTATTTTTATTTCCTGGATCTGGAGGGCGCCCTCTGCTGATCACCATTGGCACTGGTGATCTGTGTCTAGCTCTACACGGCCCCCTCAACAGCTCTTGATTTTCTTCTCTACTGACAGACGCTTTTGGCAGAGAGATGGAGGTGTTGGTGAAGGGCTGCATTTTAGGACTGTTTTGAAAGTACAATAGGAGGACAAAACAAACTTTAATTTTTTGTGTGAACATCATGTGAAGTTGATATTACACAAGCTTAAGTACTTTGGTTTAAAATACAAAAAACAGAAGATTGACTTGAGGGGAAGGATTTACAGCTGCCGTCCCGTCTCTCCAACAGGCCTGTTAGCTCTGCTTTAGAGCTTTTCTGTTGAAGTGTCCTCTGAGGCTAGTTGTGGTTTTACAAGCATTCCCCCCAAAAACATCTAAATCTCATTTTATTCCTTGATGTTCCCTATTTTCAGCAAACGCATCATATTCTCACATTCCCCCAGACAATAGATCATAGCGAACAGGGCAGTTAGGAGCATAATGGCAAGTATATTTCCCATGGAAATACTTTGGTTTCGTTTCCCCTTTTGTTCTTGTCAGCAGCAGTCCATATGTTTTCACCCTCCACCATTTCTTTTTGCCTTTTTCCTCAGTATTTATGATGTTACCCCCTGATTGAATGCCCATTGTGTTTGCATGCAACACATACAAACACCTCAGTTTGTTTGTTTACATTGTATTGTTAATTGTTTACATTAATCTTTTTCTGATCAAAATGACATTCAGAGTTGTGATATTCTGTCACCACTAAATCTTATTCTCTCTCTGTAGAGTCAGTCTAGTAACAACATGCAGAAACACAAGTCTTCTTCCTCCTTCACTCCGTTCATCGACCCACGCCTCCTCCAAGTCTCTCCATCCACCGGCAGCGCCCTCAACAATGTCGGTATGTCCCCTCCCCCAGTGTCTACTGGGAAATAAATCAGACACCTAAAAAGGCTCACAACCATAAAGATAGAACTTCTAATCCCAGGCCTCCATCGGCCTTTCCATCAAAAGCTCCAGGAACTGAGGGAGCTACAAAGTGCAGACACTTAAAGTTTGCACATCAGGCTCAGGATCATCAAGTTAAAGAAAATCATAAGTTAAGAAAAGTGGGACAGTCAAGGTTGACAACGTAGTGTTGCAACCTCCACGACAGTAGTTTGAAGCCATAAGTTACACTTTGGAGCTGTGGCCAATGAACCAAAATCAAAACCAGGTTCCTCTGGAGGGAACAGAGGTAAAGATCGAGTGTTCACAATGCTCGCTTTTGGTTAGCGTGGACTCACTGAGGTCACTGAGCTTTTAGCTGCCACAGTTTACAAACATAGCTCTCTTATCACGGCAGTCCTGCTGTTCCCATCGTCCCTCAGAGGATTGGCCATCGCCAAAACCAGATCTTTCCAGCCCTGAGGACTGTGGTATGCTGAGTCATTACCTCACCTGATGCAGCTGGTGACCAGCCACTGACCCCTTGAGTATACTAGATTGTTCAGTCTGCATTTAATCACCGATTTGATGAGTGTAGATTTTCCTACAGATGTTTTATGTCCAGATGGTGATTTAAGAGAAGTGGAGACAAGCAGTGGCCCACACTCTGACACAGATACCATCAAATAACATGTTGCAATGGCTGCAGAGGCGATCTGAGGTTGCACAGCTTGTCATGTGTCCCAGTTTCAATAACAAACAAGAAACTTTCAGCATCTGTCGCTATGTTGCCCTGAACTAAGTGACCTAAAACCACTGCTAAAGAAATTATGATGGACAATTGTCTTGGCATTTTTTTTTAGATTAGAGTAGATCTGTTGTTTTCCAACAAGCAATCACAGCTTTATTTCTATTCAATCAAAATCAATTCTGTTTTTATGATTAACAAAAGCAAATGAGATTCACCCACCTTTCTAATTCTGACCATTTGACTGACCCCCACCCTGCCTGGTAAATTCTACATCCTACACCGTCCTACCTAAGCCCCTCCCTTTGACCTTTTAGGCTATGGCAATGATGCCCGGCTGGCAGAGGCGCTGAGGGCCGACCCATCTCGCAAGGGCTCTGTGGTCAACGTTAACCCGGTCAACACTCGCCCTCAGAGCGACACGCCAGAGATTCGCAAATACAAGAAGAGGTTCAACTCTGAGATCCTGTGTGCTGCTCTCTGGGGTAAGAACGAAGGCGTCAACTCAACCACATTCTCATTGGTTTAAGAGTTAAGAGTCATATTTTTTAGGTTTTCATTTAAATTATATGATTATATTAAGTTATAATACACCAGCTATTTCCAGGAATCACCCTATTTGCTTTCCCCTTTTTCATCCAAGTGATTTAGAAAAAAAAATCTGAGACCACTTTCCCATAAATATGTATTTATTAACAGGTTTAACATTATTAAAACATGATTTTTGGTACACAGCATGCAAGTATTTTGTAGTAATCTGTTTTTCTAGAGGTTGTAGCTATAAGTCTTCACCACCTGGTGGCAGCAAAATGCTGATAAAGCTACAAACTCCATCCGTCTGACCAGACTGCACAGTGTCTTTCGAACTCTAAATATATATATGTATTTATGTGTGTGTGTGTGTGTGTGTGTGTAGGAGTGAACACGTTGGTGGGAACAGAGAGCGGCCTGATGCTGTTGGATCGTAGCGGTCAGGGGAAGGTTTACCCTCTGATCAACCGACGACGCTTCCAGCAGATGGATGTCCTGGAGGGACTCAATGTTCTGGTTACTATATCAGGTACACACACAAACACACACGTCTCTGTGACTTCAGAGGACATTACATTGCCTTACATTAATTTCCTTGAGACTTACTTTAACCTTAACCTTAACTACTACTTGCCTAACCCTTACCAGAACCTTAAAATAGCTATTAGTAAGGTTGCTACAGAGCCAATGTTAGCATTAACCGCTGTTTACTTACCAGTCTTGCTAAGAGCTTCAGCCATTGTTGTGTTTACAAGACATTAGATTCGCCCCATGAGCAGCACTACTTCTTCAGACTGGACGCTACATTGACTCGGTATCAGAAAGTGATGAGATGGGCCGATCTGACCAGACTGTCTGATTAGCATACCAGCTTCAGGTGAAGGAAAGAAGTGATAGGGTTGCTTTCAACTGTTGGAGACAGCTGTTAACAAGTGAACAAATTAAGTTTAATGTTGAACTCGCAACGTTTCTTCTAGACTAGTAAGTAAACAGCTGTTAATGCTAACGTTGGCTATGTAACCTAAACCTAACCTTAAAACTTTTAAGACTTGCTTTTTGTGACCATTCTGTGTAAGCAGATTTAGGTCTCCACAACATGAGTAATACCTGGACCACACAGACATTTTAAAGATAGTTTAATTACACTTGCAGCCAAATTAGTGTTGGAAGGATCAATGAGATGCGAAGAAACCAACACTTAAACACACAAATGTGGTGTATGCGCGCACACACACACACACACACAGAGCAGCTGCTTGTGCATAGAAACAAGTGCACAAACACACAGAGACACAGCGGCAGAGTTCAATCTAAATAATGTAGTGTGAGTTAATTATGAGACAAAAAAAGAGTTTCACTTATGTTTACTCCTGCTGTGTCAGATCATATTGAGAGAGAGAGTGTTTTGTCTGGTCTGCTTCTCTTCCAGACTTGCACGTGCTCACACACACACTGAAACCTGCTAAAACCAGCATATTGTGGGAAAGAATGTGACTGAAGTTGCATAAATATTTTTGTCCCCTCACACAGTTAAGTTCCAAAATTTCTCAGATTGAAAGTGCATCCACGTTCTTACTTCTCCTTTCTAAATTTCACGCACACACGGAGGCCGTGCAGTGTCACAACAAATATTTTGAGCTAAACGGATATTGAGTAAATCCCTGCCAGTTGAGACCACGTCATGTGTGTGTACAATATGTAACACTGACACACACTATGCACTTTCCATGATGGCAGGAAATGTCACAGAGAAACATGCGTCGATTTCCTTCCATAAAATTTCTTACCAACATGTAAAGATACACGTCATGGAAAGTTGTATCACTTCAATGTTTGAGAGGCTGACAAATGATCAGATGTAACCAGAGCTTAGCTTGTTTAAAATGTCTTATAACATCAGTGGAAATGGTTGGCAGTGTAGCTAGAGTGGCTACCTCTGGTGCACAAAATGCCAGCAGACAGATGCATAAATAAGGTGCTCTGTCCGTTCTGAGCGTTCTTGATCTGACCACGATCTTCACTGTTGTCAAAAGACTTTTCTACATCATCGATTGATAATGTCAGAGCTTTTGTGTTTTAGAAGTCAGGGAACATTAGATAAATTAAAAAATGATTGACAGGAAGAAGGAGAACTACACTAGACTCATAGATATCAAGTTGTCTATGTAAGGTGTCTTTTCCAGATGTGTGGGTTCAGTTACACATATTCACAAATGTCTTAGACTGACTTAGACTTACAACATGCTTCTAGTATTTTCATACGGTTGTAGCAGAATGTTATCGAACATAAAATCCACAGGCGGTGTAACTGCTGCTTCAAAGCAGCGACACGTTTTTCCCCTTTTTTTTGCTTGACGCTTATGTGCATAATGTGCACCTTAATAAAACAGTTGGGTAGAAACTAAAGTCTTGAGCATGTCTACCTTACTTGTATATTATGGCATTCAAAATTAACTATCAGCCAACAAGTAACCAGACCTTTCTCATATCATCCTACAACTAAAGCAAAACTGTCTTTATTGTTATTCTTTTGAACAGTACATGCAGTAAAAAGAGGGACTGCCGGTCACACAGTGTTCCTTTGCATGTTGTTTTGTCCCAACTTGACCCACACTCAATCACCCAAATTACTGAAATATTGCAAAACACTGCAGACCCAAGAATGGAGGAGGAAAATCCCACCACAGGGGCTTCTAAAAGATCACATTTGTTACGCTGATCATTGCAGCATTAAAGAGAGGAAGGCAATCATTCAGACATATGTCAAATTAAAAACTGAGAATCACTGTAGGCCAGAATGAAATCTCAGCAGTAATAAGTGGCTTTCAGGGTTACTTTGACTAGTCCAAGTCCAAAGAGGTCAAAACTCCTGCAACACTTGTAGTATAAAGAACAACTTTACTGTCAGAGCAATGTGTAGCCTTCATCATGCAGATTGGCCTGTCAAATTCTCAAATGTAAAGTTTTATAATTCTAGAGGGAAAACAAACAGCAAGTGGAACAAATAGTCCTGACTTGACCTTTCTCGTTCGACGGCAGGTAAGAAGAACAAGCTCCGTGTCTACTACCTGTCCTGGCTGAGAAACAAGATCCTGCACAATGACCCCGAGGTGGAGAAGAAACAGGGTTGGACTACTGTAGGAGACCTGGAGGGCTGCGTCCACTACAAAGTTGGTAGGTCATATTCCTAAAATTTTAGAACGTGTCAGCTTTAAAGCTGAAAAAACTTTGGTATCTGTTTCCCATCAGAAATAAACCCAGACACATCTGGACTCAAACAGAGGAGTCTGTTTACAGACTTCACAAACTCAGTTTAAGTTACAGAGGGAGTGTATGTGTACAAGCGCACGTCATTGATAAACGATGGAAGGAAAGCCCTTAGTTAAGTAATAATGCGGTGAAGATGTCCATGTGGACATTTAACTGTCCTGTCTAAAATTCAGAATGTCCTCTGTGATGGTGGTGCCACTGAGCAAAGACGGGCACTTCCTGTTGGAAACTCCTCTCCACTGATCAGAGCTGTCATCCATTTCCTGTCAAGGAGTTTTATTCATGTGTATCATATTTGTGGAAAACACGCTGTCGTACATGTAACTGCACAGTTTTCTGTGACTGTCTCCCTTCTCGGTTGAGTTTAAATTAACATAAAAACTTTCAATTCAACTGCAAGCACTCTAGTTGTAGAGTTTAAAGTCTTTAATGACTTGCAGGGGCTGGCAGTTTTCACATTTTTCTGTAAACTGAATATTGCAGCAGGAAATAAAATAACCTAATCATACATGGTGTCTTCAGATCCAAATAACCATCAGTTTAAATCAATTTCACTGCTTTAAAACAAACTGTTACTGGTACTGAGCCTTATTGGTAGTTTGTCAGATCAAGAAATCTTGATTGGAAGAGTCAACAATGGGAAAAGAAGTGAACCACAGCTGATGTTGGTTTCCCATCCTGATGCTCTTTCGTGTTGTTCCAATGTTTTGTTGTGTTATTTGTTCCCCAGTGAAATATGAGAGGATCAAATTCTTGGTTCTGGCCCTGAAGAACTCGGTGGAGGTCTACGCCTGGGCACCCAAGCCCTACCACAAGTTCATGGCCTTCAAGGTGAGTAAACTGACTACATTAGCTTGTTATTGGTTTCTTTTAATGACGACAAATACAGGATATTTCTAAAGTTGGTTTGGTGAATTGGATCTTTTGTGCGTCTGTGTACTTTTATTGCTGCATTACCCAGAATGCATGCTGATGCCAAGGTTTAACACAGATCAAAGATGAGCTTCCTAGAAAGTTGTGTTATGTATGTGTTGTTTTAACTACAGATTCAATGACATTTGTTTGTACAGCTTGCTATCACCATTGATAATCTCTGCCCTGGCAAATATTTACTGATTTACTATTTACATGTTTTTCTGACCTGTGTCCTTCAGTCTTTCGGTGACTTGGTACACAAACCCCTGCTGGTTGACCTGACCGTGGAGGAGGGTCAGAGGCTAAAGGTCATCTACGGCTCGTGCTCGGGCTTCCACGCTGTGGATGTTGACTCTGGGGCCGTCTATGACATCTACCTGCCCACACACGTAAGAACGAAAACATCTCACTTGCATGTTTGGGATTTTTCAGCTCTGTACAAGGGTAGCAGAGTAAACTTTTGTTTTCACTGTTGCTGCTTTTCTGGGCCTGAGTTTGTTGGTGTGTCGCTGCAGATCCAAACCAGCATCCAGTCTCACGCCATCATCATCCTGCCCAACACCGACGGCATCGAGCTGCTGGTGTGCTACGAGGACGAGGGTGTCTACGTTAACACCTATGGACGCATCACCAAGGATGTGGTGCTGCAGTGGGGGGAGATGCCCACCTCAGTGGGTGAGTGACAGGGGCAAAAGCTACACAAACACAAACCTAGAAGTTTTTCTTTGTACATTTTTCCAGGTCAGGAACCAGTGATCTGGATAAATAGTTTCAAATGTGCAAAAAAAAAAAAAGTAAAAAGTATTGATAAACTTTCATTCAAATATTATTTTCACTCTCTTTTAATTTACAGATATTTTCTTTTTGTTAGGTGTGTTACTTCCTCAAACATGTAACACAATAGCTTCACACATTTATTGGTTAATATATTCCTGATGGATCAAAGTCCGTCGTGATTTGTTGAACATTGATTAATCATTATCTAACACACCATTACATATACACACAGCTATTGTATTTCACCTACACAAGCAACTTGCATTGATCATTTGTCCTGTGCAGCCGCAGAGGAAACACACATACAGACAAACACAGTTCAGTAGTGTGAGTCTTTAAATATATATATATATATATATATATTTGTAAATATTAGTATATTGATTAATTTACATACCTCTCTCCAGCCTACATTCGCTCCAACCAGATCATGGGCTGGGGGGAGAAGGCCATAGAGATCCGCTCTGTGGAGACCGGCCACCTGGACGGTGTCTTCATGCACAAGAGAGCCCAGAGACTCAAGTTCCTCTGTGAAAGAAATGACAAGGTGAGACCTCCATGTAGACATTCAACAACACATCATAATCGGATCTGTTCTCATCAATACCGGTATCAATGACTTCCCTGAAGATCTTACAGCCAGCTGTTGGCTCACTGGATAAAATTGTGCCCCAGGCACAAACGGAGGCGAAGTCGCACACATTTTAAACCACAGCGTGTTAAAAGATTAAACCTTCCTCGACACAACAAGAGTTTTGTTTGTTTGTTTCCGATGCTTGACTCTGCTGTCAGACATCGCTGCAGGGCATCCGAGAGGACACACAGGAGCTCGCTCTCGTGTCCCGTTGCTGTTCAAAGTGAATTAGGCTACAGATTTTAAGTTAATGCTGCAGTCTGCTGCCCCGAGGTTTTCCAAGGTCACTTTCAGTTTGCTCGATTCTGTTGGTTCAGCTCTTTCAGCTGCAGAATTAACTTCAAAACAACTGTAGTTTCTCTTCTCCAAACTTTGCTGGCCTGTTTGGACTGATGAGAAGTAAAGAATTACATATTCGCTCATATCTCTGTGCTTTTATGAAAAATCATGAGCTTCTGAGGACTGTAACATCCGGGAATCAGTTTTCTTTCTGGGAACATTTTTAAAGATCCCTCTTCTTAGTCAATCAGTTGATTAGGTTTGTCAATTTTTTGGTTGGTGTAAAAACAAAAAGGGCTACAGTAAAATTTTAAAGATCCCTGTACATGATTGCATTCATTTATTTGAAACACTATAGAAATAATGTGACAGATTTTTCTACTTAAATTTACTAATCTATTAATTGACCATAAATCCACAAAAAATGGTAATCTTCTATTCTGATTGATGTACAGACGGACTTAACTACGTCTGAAAGGTCTAAAATATCCGATAGTGATTATTGTCACCAATTGCAATTATTTATCATGTTGTATAAATCAAAACTCAATTTGCATGAGGTGAACCAGAATTTAAGTTTATTATCAGTTATAGTGGTTTAAAATAATATTAATGTTACTATCATTCAGTCGCATTGAAATCCAGATCTAGATCTGAGAACGAAAAACATTTACAGTCAAACAACCAACACGTTTTACTTTTTTATATTAGTAGATATAAAAAGTATTTAGGTTTTCTTGTGTTCAAATTCAAACTGCACCTGAAAATGAGTGCAAGCCGAGTGTGATCATACCTGACCCGTCTGTCTGTCTCCTCCTCAGGTGTTCTTCGCCTCTGTTCGGTCTGGAGGCTCCAGCCAGGTGTACTTTATGACTCTGGGCCGAAGCAACCTGCTCAGCTGGTAGAGGTCCACACCCTGCCCTCTTCCTCCTCCTCCTCCTCATCTTCCTCATCGTCCTCCACCCTCGCTAACACTGGATCTCAGAACCCACCGTCGATGACTCGTCAGCCCTTGGACAACCAAAAGAGAACAAAAAAAAACAACCACCAACCAGCCCTTTGGAGCAGTCGACAACAACAGCTTCAGCTTCCTTTGCTGCATCCAAGCTCCGGGGGGCCACCTGCCACGCAGTGACAACCGGTCACGCGGTTATCACCCCCTGAAATACCTGAAGGGACGGCTTGCGTACAAAATGAAATCAGTGATTAATTAATACATGAAAGGAAGTAGAAATAAATTTAATGTGAATTCAAGAAAAGGGGGCAAACAACTTTTTGTTTCCCCTCTCCGTTTTCTTGGTGCTCATCAGATTGCGATGGGATAGATTTTGTACCTCTGCATCATTTCCGTGCTCCTGGGCTGGTCAGTAAGCTTGAGGTCGTCTAACTACTAGTACTGCTACCACTCTTATTACTACTACTGCTACTACCTTCTGCAGGTCTGCCTCTTGTCAGAGAGTTCCCCCTCTGCCCCATGTTCTTGCCCCCTGCCCTCTCTTGTGAGCACTTCATGGGGCCGGTGGGGTCGGAGTCTGTTGTTTTAATGCTACAGTAGTGTGTGTAAATGTACTTCTGTTTGGTCCAATTACTGCTGACATGCTGGTTAGAGGTTGAGACTTGTCAGCCAGGGGGAAACTGTAAAACCCAAGAGATGGTGGGACAAGCAGGAGGGAGGGGCCTAATGTTTGAGGTTTTACTGTAAGTCTGACTGATGGGATTCGACAGGACGGTGTGTGTGTGTGTGTGTGTGTGTCGTTGAAGTAATGTGTTGTTCAGACAGGTGCTTTAAAAAAAGGGGGACGACAGAGAGAGAAAGATGTTGAAGCAGATGGATTTCAGAATAGTATTTTTTGAATTATTACTATTATTATTATTATTCCTTGAAGATAAGTGTAACTATGTGGAGTTAAACATGTCTTTTACCTTGTTTTTTAAGATTTACGCACATCCACCCACACAGTCCACGGTTTGCTTGCTTTTACTCTGAACCCACAGAAGTGCGAGGTGTGTTTGTCTAAGAAGAAAGTGATGTGGGTATGGTCCAAAAAATACAATAAATAAAAGGTGTCTATGTACAATAAAAGTTAATTTAAGCTTCCGGATAGTGTCAGTGGTCATGTTTTTCCCCCACCAGTCAAACATGACGACCTAAACTCAACTCGGGAAACTTGAACTGCTGTGAATAGTCAAATATAAAATGAAAAAAAAAAGAAGATGATGATGATAATGGAGTGAAAAAGTAGAGGGGGAAGTTCAGTAAGTGTGTGTGCGTGTGCGGTCAGAGAGTTCGGTGTCATCGACAAATTGGATTTTTGTGGCAGAGAGGTAAACGTACGGTCAGCAGGCTCGATTCAGTAATTTTTTTCTGGAAAACGGTTTTTCTATCTTCCATTTCGTTATCTCAAATCATTTCATTTTTCATTTGTATGAATGCAATGCACTAAGTGTCCAGAATGTAGAAAGACTTATTACTGTGTGGTGGTCTAAGGCATGAGATGATGTTTTTGCTTTGTATCTTGTCACAAGTGATCAATCCTAGATGTTCAATTTCGACTTAAAAGACGATCGGAACCTTTTCCACAGCTGTGAGACTCTGAGGAAGCAAACGCCTTGAGTGCGTCAGAGCTGAGGAGGGTTTTCTGGCATCGTGCGAGTCCGCTTCACGTACGTCAGGCACTCTTTCCATCAAATGAGGACACAAACCTCACCAATTCAACACTCAGACTCTGGATTTCAGTGTTACTGTGATGAAGTGTCACAAAACGGGCAACACGGGCTGTTTGTGAAGAAACTGAAGACGGAAACCCACTTTTTCGGGAAGGAATTGTTTTCTCTCTTTCGTGCTCTCCACTTCCTGCTCCAGCTGTTATTTAAGTTGTCTGTATATGTGAAAGACTGAGCAGCAAACTGCAGCATCGATCTCCTTCAGGCCATCTGCTGGACTGGATTCTCCTCCGTTTCCACGACGACTGACAGATTGCACATTGTTCACTGAAAAAAAAAATGGGGGAGGGGGAGGGAGAGTTTAACTTGTGCTCTGACATCATGTCCAAACATGACAGGTCACAAACAAGTTTACCTTGGGTGTGTTTTTCCCCTGACAATAACAACTACACACACGAGCAGTGTTTTGACAATCCCTCCCCTTGTACAGAGAAGCTGTATGGACCCCAGTGCTGTGTCGTCTGAGGTCTGTGTGTGCAGTAGTACCCAGTGTGTGTCTCTTATTGCATCAAGGCCTTGATGAGTGGCTGTTTTGACTTCATGAAAAAAATTGTGGTTATTATTAATATTCTTAATGAGCTAAAAAAAAAAAAAAAAAAAAAAAAGGTTGAGTTTTAAGTCTATATCTGATGAGAAACAACCGTCGCTTGTCGACTCACATTGGAAAAAGTGCCATGACGGCAGCATATAAAACATGTAAACATATTGTTATGAAAACCACTACTTGGAAATTCTTTTTTTTTTTTTTTTTTTTTTTTAAATTACAACTTGAAGAATTGTGTATTCTTAAGTTTTAGAGCTAGTCGAGAGGCTTAACTATAGTTTCTGTTGTTTCTGTAAGTCTACGTACACGTAAATATGCGACTGCGGTGGTTTAATATTATTCCGCTCACCTTAGGTGGAGAAAATGTTTACAGGGGCAATGTTTTGTTACACTAATGTGCATCACAGTATTTATGTTTAACGCATATGCGTCTTGGTTCTTTAATTCTTTGGGTTTTTTTTTTTTTTGCTTTTTGAGCCCGGTTTTTTTTGGATATTTTCTTCTTCTTCTTTTTTTTTTTTTTCATGTTCCCTACCCCACTATATCACCGACTTACAAAAACAATAAAGAACACACATGTTGTTCATTTCAGGTATTCACATAGCGCTGCTTCAACGTGGAAACTTCGCAGTAACGTTCCCTGCAGGCTTGGACGTGAGGCGACGTATTTTTCCTCTGCTGTTTCTGCCATGCTATTCTAACTTATGTCCTCTCTGTGTATGACAGGAAGTCATGTATTTTCCTGAAGGCTTTTTTCTTTGAATAAACTTTAAAAGTAATTTTAAAAGAAGAGCTTGTCCTTTGTCTTTGATAGGCTGCACACACACATACATGTTGAAAAGAGACATGTTGTAACACACGTTGGCACATTTTTGTTTCAACAGATTTTCAATTAATTTGCTACTTCATATTTCTGTGGCAACACCATTTTAAAGCTGTTTTCACATAAACCTACAATCTGCACTTAGATAAACAATACACCATGTTAACTGTTCAGTCGTTCACAATGCAGTTATGTTGTAGTAACCATTCACATGAGCTGCTTCACAGAAAATAGTATCAGTGTGTTGTAATTTTTGACTTCTTGTTGAGGCCATCCTGTGGTGTTTTAATGTCTGTTCTCAGTGTGAGTGGGTGTCTGAGCTCTGCTGAAAGGAGAAGTAATGACAAATGCAGTTTTCTGAGGATGTATGGGGTCACTTACTGACATGAGTTAGTTGTCAGGATGATTTTTAGAAGCAACTTATCTAGTTCATGCAGCTGGGTGCACACAACTCTTTGGTCTCTTCATCGCTAAAACGCTGCGATGACTTAGCCCACCTTTAAATTTATAGGATGCACTCTATCACTTTAGTCTAACTTTTTTTTCAGACATCTTCAGACAAATTAAATGTAAGATGTCAACCTCTTACCGTTGTTAATCTTATTAAGTGGGTGGTTTCTGATAAAAAAAAAAATTTAATTAAAGCTAATTGAAACATGGTCTTCTATGAAGTAAAAAAAAAGTAAAAGTAAATTAAGATTTTGCTAAAAATCCAAAAATATATATTTTTGTTTGTATTTGATGACCGATATTACTGCAGCCATCATCTGCAGTCTTTGGCTCATGTTCTACAAAAGTTGATACTGTTTTCAACAATGACTGAAAATGCTGCAACACACTTCTGGAAATGTTTTTTTTTTTTTATCTGTAGTTCCAGTTAGGGTAAGATCACTCCGTCAACGCGCGATTACATTACTGTAGTCATGGTTTAGGTAAGGTTTTTGGTCAGAGCTTCACTGACTTCAATGGTAAAAACTACTCTGACTACATGCAGCATGGAGTTTGTCATACTTGGTGACGTAAAAATGGCATTTATTTTGTGTGCAGTTTCCTGTGAGAGCAGGCGTCTACCTTCAAATCCTCCGACTAAGCTTTACTGTATCTCATCTGTAAAAAATATTATTTTTAAGATGTTAAAATTATTGCTTCGCCAGAATATTTAATTTATAGATGCCGCTATTGTAAAAAATCCAATTTTTTAGCTTAATCCTGGCTGCTGCATTCTGGCTCTGTCACTGAGAGGAATTTTAGATCTTTTGCTTTTTTTCAGCTGCACAAAAGATGCACAAAACAGTCCGCTATCCATTTAATTGATAGAAAAATGTGTCACGTTGGGCTTATGGTGTAATTATAATAATACGTCGAGTGGCTGGAAGGTAAATTGCTGTGAGGACGAAAAATGAAGCAGGCCCATCCTAATGTTTAGTCATCTGTCCAGTGTTATTGGACACTAGGGTATCACTGATAATGAGGCGATCTGGAGAATTCCCAAAACATGCAACATCTCCTGCTTTCTCAACGGTCAGTCTGAGTTTAATGAATGGTATGTTCTGTTTCGCTCAACTTTTAACCTTATTACAGTGCTACTGCATGTGAACGCTGTTTTTGTTTACTTAAGGCTCATTCTGTATCGTATGCATGTACCCCCCCATACCAAAACTACAATAATAAACACATTCATTTCAATTACTGATAAAACTCTGATTTGCAACTGAGGATGCTCCACAGAGGCTGAGACATAAACAGAATCTGCTGACATTAAAAGTTGAATGTCTAACTGTCCGCTTTGTTTTGGGTAAATGTTAATAACAAATTGCAGGAAAACTGCTGTTTAAATCTACAACCAGAAGATAAGTAGATTATTTATTTATACATTTTTTTATGTGTGTTTTAGGAACACCTGTACACCTGCTTATTCGTGCAATTATCCAACTAGCCAATCATGTGGCAGCAGTGCAATGCATAAAATCCTGCAGATACAGGTCAGGAGCTTTAGTTCATTTTCACATCCAACATCAGAATGAGGAAGAAATGTGATCTTACTGACTTTGACCGTGACCTGATTGCTGGTGCCAAACAAGTTGGTTTGAGTACTGAAACTGCTGATCTGAGATTTTTCCACACAACAGTCTCTAGAGTTTTTACTCAGAATGGAGCCAAAGACACACACACAAAAAAAAACATCCAATGAGCAGCTGCTCTGTGGATAGAAACTCCCTGTTGATGAGAGAGAGCCTGATAGAAAGGTTGTGATAAGCAGAAAGGAATCTCAGAATCTCAGAATGCACAACACCTGGAGGTGGATGAACTACAACAGCAGAAGACCAAGTCAGGTTCTACTCCTGTCAGACAAGAACAGAAATCTGAGGCTGCACCGCCACAGTCTCCAGATCTGAATCCAGTAGAACACCTCTGAGAGACCGGCAGCATGAACATGAAGCAGTCATGTCATGATGGAGCAAAATCTAAAAGAAATGTTTCCAACACCTTGTGGAATACAAGCCACGAAGAAGTGAGGCTGTTGTAAGAGCAAAGTGAGAAACTACCTGGTATTAGCTTGGTGTTCCTAATAAAGTGCTCAGTGAGTGTATTTGCTAAAACAGACATTGGACTACAGTGTGGCTGCACCCTGACATCATTTCACCAAATCTCAGTCTTGCCACCCTATAGCTTGCATCACTGAAAAGCACTCATGTCACTTGTATGTCTTTAATGGAAAATGACCCAGTCATGATCAATACGTAGCCCAGTTTGAGTAATGCACAAGAATGTGCCAAAGGTGAATACCATAGTTTCTATCTAGGGCAATGACAGAGCAGTGAGTCACACCACTATTACACAGCTGTTTTCAAACATTTGTTTATGCAGGAGAGACCAGCGGAGTGCCAGCTTTTCCTGTTCAGACAGAATCTGCTTCAGAGTCAAATATTAAGTATTTGAGGAAGAATTTTACTGCTTTTTAGTCACAATGTAATTCGCACACTTGTACAAAGCCAGAGAGGTTCAGTGACCTTGCTCAAGGACAATCCACGTCCTGTTTACTACAAGTACAGTTAAAAATTGCTGGGTTCCTTTTTAGAACGGAGACAAGTATTTGATAAGATCCTTCCTTTGATTATGTAAAGCTGACCAAGATCAGACATTATTTTCATCTAAAAACTGAAAATTTCAAAATTCATCGCATAATGAAATGAAGACTGTTACTCTAACTCTTTAAGCAATAATACAAACTTAGTGCAATAGTACAAACTTACAATGAAACTTGCTGCAGTTTGTCCCTCTGGTGTTTTATCTTAATGCCAAGTGTTAATTTTTGTGAAAGACGCCTCTGTGACGTTCTTTAAAAATTCAGAAGGCTGTTCAACAATATTAAGGTTTTTGAAAGTATTTCCAAAATCCTCAATGACTCCCTCTCACAAAATAACATTTTTCACCCTTTGCCGAAGTTTATGTTAATGTTACAACATAAAGCTTTTCTTAATAATATGTTTGGGTCTGATGGCAGGTTACATCAACTAAAGGTTCTCTACGCTGGCACCCCTCCCCTGGTTTCTACTTGCTGCAATATCAAATGCCACCTGTGAATGCTGGCATGCTCACGTACTGCCCTACAAGAAAATTAGGGAATGTCGCACATTTCATTATAGTCCAACTGGCTTGGAATTACTAACCATGAGGTATAAAAGCTGAGGAAACAATACAGAAACTGTCACCACACCCCGTGAGCTGTGCAACTCCTCCATTATGCAGCTGCACAACAGTAGTACAACTGTAACTGTAATGGTTACTCTCTGGTCAAATGACTCAGTCAACAGCTCTGAAACTAGTCAAGAGGTCACATCAAATTATCATCAAATGATCAGCTTTAGAGCTCAAAAAAACAGAGGTGACATTATAAAGTAATAGTCAGGAGGTGAATGTTTTAGTATGTATTACTTTAAAATGACAACTCATCAAAATGCCAGAAAAGTGCAATCTAGGGGCACTGCACTGACTAATGCAAACTAAACAAATTTTTACTAATGAATACATCACAATAACAAATTAAATATAATAGTCAAATAATAATTTGCTTAAGAGATTGGGTAAATAAAACAGCAATCCAAACTCTTTATTTCAACTTTAATGCTAAACCAATGATTAAATGAGAAGTTGGAGAACGCTTATATTTGCGTCCTTTCAGAGAGGTAGATTAGAAGATCGATACCACTCTGTCTGTCTGTCAAGCATGGAACTGGAGCCAGGAGATCGTTAATCTATTTTAGTATAAAGACTGGAAAGCAGGGGCAAACAGCGAGCCTTGCTCTGACCGAAGTTCAAAAGCACACCCACCACCACCACCACCTCTTAAACAAACTAATTAAGCAGTAAGAAAGTAGAAAATGGTTCCACTGACGACTGTTTTCTACAACTAGAAACGTTGATGATTTCAGAACCGCGGACAAAATGCTTTATGCCTCCATCATATTGTGGTGGTAACAGAAAAGTCACAGGTGAATATCTCAGAAACTGGGCATCTGCATGGTGAGATACTGCTAGTGGTGAGAAAATGTTTTTTAATAATGTGGGTGAATAACCCCTTACTGATGATCTTTCTCTCATCTGTGGACAGCTGGTGTGCATGTGTGTGTGTGTGTGTGTGTGTTATTGTGCTCAAACAAACAGAGATGTCCACCGTCCACCACTGACGCAAGAGGCAGATGATGTCAGAGGAACAGCAACAACAGTTATAAACACTTGTTAAAAGTAAAGCACTACTTTTTCATCAGCATGAACTTGCAGGAAATACTTTTAACTATAGCTTTTTTTTTTCTCCCACAATGTATGTGTGTGTATGTGAGAATGTGTGTATTGAGGAGTCAGCAGACATGAGTGGTGAGCTGTACAGGACACTGCGTTACATTGGGAAACCTGAGAAATTTCCATCTCAGAGGGGTGGGAACCTTGAAAAGGGAGCACAGGTTCCCCCTGAACGGACGAGAAACTGACCACATGCTGCTCCAGTCCACGCTCTCATCACATCTGCCTGTCCGCCATACTCGTCTGTACGATGTGAGTATACTCTCTCTCTCTCTCTATATATATATATATATATATATCACACACATGCACACACACGCAGGTGCATAGGCATAGAGTAACAGCACATTAATACTACATATTTTATATATATATATATATATATATACACACACACACACACACACACACATATATATACAAACAAACAATCACGTTATTAGTATTACTTGTATTTACTATATAGTATATAAATATATATGTATATAAAATACTAATACAATTTCATATATTTATATTTTTTATTTAGACATTTACTGTATATTCATAAACACAAAATACTTTTATGTTCATAATACTGCTATTTTTGAATATGTTTTTGCTTTACTGCTTATATTTTTTAGCTTGATCACAGACTGTATTTGGGTATTTTCAATTCATTTATATTATAGAAAATACTGATACTGACTGTCTAATCTTTGAAGTTAAACAGTCAATAATATCACATAATCTCTCCATAATTAATAAATACAGTCATATATTGTTTGTGTAAACATATATATATTTTTTCATCACAAAATCTCAATATAATATTTACAGTCGAATGCGGCTGAAGTACTGCAATGATGACCACTGAACTGGATCATTATTGGTCTCTCTCTTATTAGACAGAAACTGAATTACACTCCTAGAAACAGTATAATATGTGTATTATGCAATTGGCAAACCATTAGATATGACGTATTAAGCTTAGGTGGGAGTTTTTGCTTTAATTGGTATCATCCTTGGGCCAAAATGTACATTAATTCCCACATAATACCACGCTTAATGCATTGTGACTCATGTCTATTGATGTTCATTTACAACGATAGCACTCCCACAGATTTTATGAATGAGATCGCCCTTTGATGACACACTGAAACAAAAGATTTTCTCAGGGAAAAAATGTATCACTTGTGCGCGTCTGTGCAGGCGTGCAAGTGTGTGTGTGTGCGCACGCAAGCGAGTCAGTGAGAGCGAGAGAGATACTGTTGCCTGCTGTCAGCTGATCCTGTAATCACAGGCAAGGAAACAGAAGCAGAAGTGAAAATCAGCTAGTTTCCATGGAAATGATGATTTAACTCTGCGGCAAAAATTCTCTGCACGAACCCAAGAGTTTACCTTCCTGTCTGACAGACCCAGCTACAACTGAGGAAGAATAGAATAGAATAGAATAGAATAGAATAGAATAGAATAGAATAGAATAATGTGGAGTATAAATGAACTTTGATCGAAAACATTATGGAATATAATAATATAATGATATGTCAAATTAAGATAATGTAAAATGTCAGAATAATAGCTTATTTTTTTGTTACTATATGTATATAAACAGAAATCAAATGTAGTACAACAGTCCTAATTAGATTGATTAGATAATGCTCATACCTAATGAACAGAATTTATTTTCAAATTGGATATATAATCTATTACATTAAATGCCCAGATCTTCAATCAGCAAAATACATTGGTGAAACCTGCTGCTAAAATTTATAGACATATTTAATAGTGGAACTAACACCAGACAACTATTCCAATTATTCTATTTCATTTTTTTTTTTTTTTTTTCTGAAACCATTTAGACAGAAGTCTTTAGTTATATTTTTTATTCTACTGTTGCTTTTATTTATCAAATTTTGCTGATCTCTAATGTGAGTGGCCTTTATCCATTTAATGTGACTCATCTTATTGGTAAACCACTTGTGGTTAAATCTGGCTGCTCAGTGGGGGCGGGATGAATGGGAGTGTCAGATGACACCTCTTGTGATGTCACAAGGTTCACAATCTACAAAAGAGTTTAAATAAAAGCTAAATGTCACTGAACCTCTAAGCCACTTGAGGAAACGACATTGGCAAATCACTTTTGTCAATATTTTGTTTTTTCTCCATTAGTGGCACTTATGTTATCTGTACTGTAATCATTATTCCACTCGTTTGCTCTTCTGTAGTATTAAACCCAATTATTTTCACTGGAAACTGAAAGCTGTCTCAGACGACGCACTAGTTAGACGTCACTTCATATTTTGTCAGTGGATCTTTTATTTCAGATTTTTGTCCCCCTGCAGACTGCTATCATGGTTCGCTTGGCACTGCTGCTAGGTCTGGTCATCATTGAACACGTTTATGGAAGACCTCCATTACCTCCTCTGCCTATGGAAGGTGAGCATGCTGTATATATTGTAGCTACACAAACTGTATATCATACGCAATTAAAAACTGACCAAATTCTGTCTTTTGAAACTGTATAAAAATCACACCTGAAGGCCTCCTAAGCACAGTGTATTTATCTGCATATTGTATATATACAGTATGTCTGAGACCACTTCCCTATAAATACACAGTATATACTTTTAATGTAGTATAATAATGACGTGTTAACAGTTAAGCTCACCTTAACCAGTGAAATGGACCAAAACACGTAATATAATGCAGTATAATTCACTTGGGCGCAGGCAACATGAAGAATCAGAAATGAAGCAGGGGCCTGCCACAGACTAAAAAAACTCAGCTTCTTGGTATCAACATTTTCTGCAAGTGGAAGGGAAAGCAACTATTTCACCCTTGGTTTATCAGGCTCATTCATTTAGCATAACAATATGTTAGTATAAGTGTAATAATGAGTTATCTGGGTTCTTCCCTGCAGACGGCTGCCACCAAGTGTCTCCAGAGGTGGAGCTATTCAGAGCGGATGGCGATGCCGTGATCCTCTCTTTCCCTTTTTTCAAGAGACAGCTCACACTACGCAAAATCGCCCCCCCAACAGCAAGGTACCTTATCACCAAGGACAACGGGACAGAGGGTGAGGCCTTTGAGAGCAATGGGCGTGTCCAGCAGCATGATGAACAGCTGTGGTTTCTCCCGGGTCAGGCTTCAGACTCAGGGGTTTACAACTGCACCTACAGGTATCCATTGAAACACTTCTCACGTATTTTCATCCCTCACCTGTTCTGCCATTTTCTTTGTGCTCTACTGAACATCATTTGCAAATGGTGACTGAACAAACTTTACAGTCTTGCAACTAACAAATGACCAGACAACTTATTTCAACAGCTGGTGGTTTTTCCCAGTTTAGTGAGCATGCACTAACATGTGATACATGCAATTTCTCTGGAAACTATATTCAATATTCTTTTTATCTCCAAGATATAATAATGCAATGAGATGGGGAACCATAAGCCAAATCAATAAGTAATTTATAACAAAAACATGTATAAACAGCTTTTTTGACAGTATTTGACATTTTTATACTAATTTTGATGTTCAGACTTACAAAAATACAAAATGCACCAAATCTCTCTTTTGTGTCCTTCTCTTAATTTCCAGAAGGTTGCGTTTTCTCTTGCCTCCCTCCTTAGATAGGTTAAGGTCAGAGCGTGCTACAAAACACATCTCTGAAACTAGCAGATTTGATATTTTTGCTTAGAAGGAACGTCAGATACAGATCCAAATTATATCCTTACTTGCTACACCACCTTGCGAACCACAATTTAAAATTTGTCCTCACTTTTCTCTCCAGAAATGAAACCTACTGTGTAACCGGGAGCATCAGGCTATATGTGTACGAGTCCAGCTCATCAGACATAAAGAAACTGTACCATCCAATCTCAGTCATAGTGGGAGAGAAGCTGATGTACAGATGTCCCTCTCTAAGTAACTTCAACAAGACGGACAGACTGATTGAGTGGTACAAGGTGAGAGGAATTAATACTTTTTATCCTGGATGTTGATCAGCATAAACAGTTCAATGACTAATTGGTCAGTTGCTGAGACTTTAATCTTTTAAAACTAATTTTCTGACTTTTGTGATTTCTACAAAAGGCTAACTGGTCTTCAGCCTGTTTTGAACCAGAACCTTGTTACAAAAAGAGTATGTTTTTTTTTTGTTTTGTTTTGTTTTACTGAGCCTTAAAATTCAATCGGTTCTAACTTGTTAACTTAATTTAGAGCAGCAATGTATTCTTATTTTCAAGATACTGACACTCACTTTTGAAAATGATTGAAGACAAGTTTGTATACTTGTTTTGTTTTAAGACTTTTAAGACTTAAAAAGATGAATTAATGGACAAAAATGACTTACTATCAATTTTATTAATGTATCACAGAATTTGTTTAAGAGAGTTTTACAGTGTGTTCAGCATGTTGAATTTTTGAACCGCTTCAATTAGGAAAAATGTGCTACAAAAGAGAAACTGTGCTGTAACTCAGCAAAAGGCTTCAGCTGTTTAAGGTAACATTTATTTACCATAGTGAGATATTGTGATGCCTGTCACCAGACACTATAGCTCAAGGGGAGAAGAGTTACAGTACAGTTTGTGCTGTGTGCCACTAGAGATCTAAAAGAGTTATATATTAGTTAATGGCCAATTAATGTGTTTGTTGTGCAGCACATTAAACATCTTCCCATTTTAGAGATGCTTCAAAATAGACGGATACTTCAAATTAAAAAGTCATAAAGCGCCAGTTATTTAACAATTTGGAGTATGAGAGGCCCCAGCTAGATCAAACCCTCAAGAGTTTCAGTGTTAGTGCCTTGCTCCTTCCCTGTGAGTGACGCAGTATGTATTTTCCCGATAGGACTCCAGCTCCACTGCCATTCAAATAGGCAGAGTGAGCTCCTCCAGCCGAGACAGTGGTCAGCTAATTATCCCTGCTGTGAAGCGATCCCATGCAGGTGTCTACACCTGTCAGCTCAGCACGCTCATCAACGGCCAGCAGTACAAAGTCAGCAGAACTATCCTGCTCAAAGTTGAAGGTAGGTGATGTGTGATGTCACAACACTTGTCATTTCTCTTATTTACAATGTCACTGAGGAGTGAAGGCGAAATCAGAGTCGTTTTAATTTTCTATTGCAAAATACTCCTATAAATGATGGTTGGCATTATTGAATAATATTCATTGTTATTGCCAGTATGTGCGTGCAATGCTTGATGAAGCACACTGCTGCAGATCAAGCTGTGAGGTCCTACTGGTTTTGCTAGTCATGTTTTATTTCTGCTCTATTTGGTAATAAAAATGTAAAATTGTTGATCTGAGGAAAAGTAAATGTAGATTAATTTTCAAAAATCCACAAATTGAGTCAGTATGACAACACATGTACTACATATTACTTTAATTATAGGATCTTGAGTAATAATCTTGAGGAGATGTCAGTTTTTTTAGCATGCTCTGCCCTCTAGTGGCCTAATAGCTGCAACACACTGACTTAGCTCAGCCAAAAGGGACCAGACAACTCAATCCACACATAACACACAAAAACACTGTTAATTGGCATGAATTGTTATTATTGTGTGAAATAAGTCATTGTTGCTGTCATTTGACGAGTTGTTGTGTGTATTTGTGTCTACCAGATCTATACCCTGAAGTCACCACTGTGCCTGACCTCTCTATGACCTCTGACCCAGAGCTAATCAGCAGCAGCTACGACATTGTTCACAGTGAGTTTTTTGGAGCTGTGTTCATTATTTATTTTTCTTTGTGTGGACATTTGTTAACACTGATGCTACTGCTCCTAGATTGTTTACATTTTACTTTTTAATTCCTCCTGTTTGTGTCTATTTATTAAATGTTGTTTTTATTTATGTTTTAGCTCCAATGATTCATCCACCTGTTATCATTTCGCCACGGAATGGGTCCATTTTTGAAAGTCCGCATGGTAAGTGATAAAAATGTTTTTTTGTTCTCATATATGAAATTTCATGCTTACATGCAAAAACTCATTAATGAATAAACAGAATGTTCAGTTTCAACAAATGTCCAATGTCAATTCACTTCTGAATTAATTTAGGTTCAGGATTGGAGCTGCTTTGCAAGGTGCTCACTGAATGTCAAATGGCAGATTCAACTATGGTCACATGGCTGGTCAATGGCCAATCAGTGGAGTCATCATACCTCGATGGGCGGGCTCTGCAGGGGGGAAGGAGGTAATTGTGGATTTGTTTTTGATAAATATATCCTCTCAGTATTGAAACCTGAGGTCAAAACAAGAACTTTACAAGTGTGAAGCAATATGTTGCCACCCACAAAAAGAACAAGAGCAACTTTCCAACTAGGAAATAATGCAGTTTGGAGCCTAATAGTATAATAATAGCCTAAGATGTTGTTTTCACTTTGGATTGAATTGTCTTGGATTCTGTGAATAGGGGAGTATTATTGTATAAACATCTTGCCTAGTTTAACCCTTTAGGTACATCCGACAAATGCTTGCAATGTTACCAACCCAAATCATAGCATGTTATCAGATGGCTGTGTCTGTCTCAACGTTTCCAGGGTAAGCAAGGTGTCCGAAAGCTGCCACATTGAGCTGATGCTAGTTGTTGTAGCGATGACGGATGAAGACATGAAGACAGAGATGAAGTGTGTCACTCAGAACGAAGGAGGAAGACAGGAAGTTGTCATACAGCTTCAACTAGAGGGTAAGTCGTGTGTTTTTGTGTTGAATGTGTTAATGAGAGAGCCCTAACGAAACACTTTTGTTACATTTTCTAAGATGTCAATCAATAACTTAGTCCAAGATCTAACACGGGGCGTCACTTTGTGTTACAATACGACAAAAACAACAGAAACAACTGAAGGAATAATGTTAATGTTCGTTAAGCTAAAGACAATAAATCAACCTTTAAATGTTAAGTTAAACTTGTTGTTCAAAGCTGCAACTTTTTCAACATTAGAGAAACATAGTTCACAGTAGTTCATGAGTCAAGCTCAATCAATCATGGCTCCTTCTAAGCATAAGAATGATACGAAATTAGACCCTACACTGTTATGGCTGTTTGTCATGTTCGCAGTCAATGGAAAATTTGGACATGAAGAAACAGTGTCAGGAATTTGTTAAAAGATAAAAATGGTTTTAATTTTAGAATCAGTAGGATAAGGGGGATTTTATTTTATCTTATGTTACCGTTTCTCACTGCATTTGTTTCTTCTATAGTTAAATTGCATTGTATGTTTTGTTAATGTGCAAACCTTTCTCAAACCATTCTCATTTGTTTAACATTTCTTTGTGCAAGCTTTTTTTCCCACAACATTTTAACAAGTTATGCCAAAATCCATTTCAAATGCCATATGCCATTTCAAAAAGTGGTGGGGACGCGTCTCTAGCGTCCCCATGGTAAATGACATCTATGCAGTGGAATTATTCTTTGCAGCAAAACAGACAACCACTGGCCTCTACTGTATATCTAAACATTCTTTACCTCTATCTCTGTTTTTGCAGACTCCACATCTACATGGCTGGTGGTAGCTGCAGTGGCTGTATCCTGCTTCCTGACAGTGGTGTCCATCTTCCTCTATGTCCTCTTCAAACCTCAAAGGAAAAAGAAAATGGATTACATTCTGGCTCGTCAGAGCAGCACCATCTATAGCTCTGCTAGTGAATACATGTCCTCCACAGACAGAGACCTTCTTTAATGTGTTTGCTGTTATATCAGTTTAGTCTTTCATGCATTGCAGGGCATGTGATGTTGTGCAGTGGCACCACCACATTGTGTTTTTGATAAACTGTCCTTTTACAGGGATTCAGTGTTTTTAAAACAGTAGCTGCAGTCACTTTTTAATTCAGTATGCGCTCATGTGGCCAGTGCAGAGGCTTTCTTTCATGCATCTATCTCGTATTGGTGTGGCAGAAATGTCCTGCCGAGATGTAATACAGAATAACCAGACTGACGCTTCACAGAAGTTCAGCAGGAGTTGTAATAAATGGTCAAATTCAGTGCATGCTTCTACCATGGAGAAACATCTGTATATACATGTATACAGCATAGAACTTTATGTGAAGTCATTCCAATCGTTTATTTTGTTCTAACACTCCATCAAAAATACACTCAGGGGCAACTTTTTTAGGGACACGTGAAAAATGTAATGCAATCCAATACAACAGGTCAGCCATGAATTCTACCTTTTACAAAGATTATAATGTCCATCTTTGATTGACACTGTGAGATAAGTATTATTTAACCATGTTTTTATTATTGAGGTTATAGTTTGCAGTGGAAAAACATCTAAAACACCAACAGTTTGAATGCAGTCCAATCCAACACCAAACTATATGTATATGTGTTTTAAAATATAATAAATGTTCTCAGGGAAGCATCTTGTGAAGTAGAAAAGTGTTAAGTCCATTTGCTGATCATATCTGCACATTTACATGGCAAATCGGAAAGTGGTTTGAGAAACTACTGTGTGTTGATGTGTATGCTTGATTGAATGTACCATGTTTAATGTTATGATCCTATAACAGATGTGTTGCATTACTGCTCCATTAAAAGTTTGGTTTAAATGTTCTGGTGATGATTTTAACTAATGCATAATTTTATGGTGGTTATTGCACATAAGACATTATGTGTTCTTGTGACAGTTTCCCCTGCCACTGTTGACACACCACACCAGCTCCCCACACTACCATACAACTCACATGCCACATGTTAGCCAGGTAGCTTGCTACTGCTAGTTGGTGGGTGCACACACTAAACTATATTTAACACCTTAGCAAGTTTCCTGTGCTATTTTTTTTTCCTATAATACAAACACACATTTTGTGTTGCGCGCGCGCGCGCGCACACACACACACACACACACACACACACACACACACACACACACACAATTTTTAGTTAATTTTTTATTGTTTAAAGGTTGAAGGCCATTGTTGAAAATTAAATTAATTTTGTTTCTAGTCTTACCACAGCACTTCCTGGTTCCGGGCAGTGTCAAAGGACCTGAGCATGGCGTCCAGCCAGGAGGGGCCTATTCTATAAAATGGAGGGAGGTCTACACTGCCCGGGCAGTTAGAGAAGGGCTGTGCAGCTGTGCAGACCAATGGAGGTCTGCATTTTCATTTTGTTTTGGATTGTCTGGGAAAAAAGGACAATAAAACCTTTTTTTTTGCACTGAACTGACTTTGTCATGCTTCCTGTCATCGACATTTATGATTAAAGTACAGTTTTCTAGTCAGCCTTTCACCAACCTACCCTCACTCAGGCCAGAGTGTGACAGTTCTCCTCTAAAACACAGACGGTGAGGGGCACGAGACAGACAAGGAAAGATAAGGTGAGAGAGCGTTAAACATGTACTGTAATAACTACTCCTATTCCACAAATGCAAAAGTGGCTTCACTTTCTATGGTGCAATTTCCAGAGAGGAAACATCATTCATCATCAGTGCAGTACGATAAGGTCACTCCAAAAATATATTCTTGAGATCACAAAGGCCTATAGAAACCCATCCATCCATCCACCCACCCACATCCTTTTTAGGGTTGTGTGAGACTGGTGTGCCCTCAGCGAAAGGCAGATATAGACAGTCAAACACATTCACATTAACATGTAATTTGGAGTTTCTACCTTACCTGTCGTTGGACTGTGACAGGAAACAGGGACACTCAGAGGAATCCCATGCAGACACAGAGAGAACATGTAAACTCCAAACAGAAAGGCCTTCGCCCAACCTCTGAGCCACCATGCCAACCTGCACACAAACAGAAACATGTACTGTATATTACTTATATGGAACTTTTCTAGCTTACTTCACAGGTGAGTTAATGAAGCATAATGATGAAGATTATGATAAAACATAAACTTAATAAACATATATTTAAACATAAAGAGGAATTCTTTATAGAACAGTTTCATGGTTAAAAGTGGTAACTTCCATTGATATTTTTTACAAATTTGGCTCAGGCATGTAACAACACGGGTTCACACACACAGAAAAGTCCAAAGCCAAATTCATTTATTTAAATAATCAGTGAAATAATATGGAGGGTGAATGATATGGATGTTTTCAGTAGTCAAGTTGCTTCTCTGTGCAGCCACAAGAGGTCTCACTATGACAATGTTTTAAATGTAGCCTCCAATGACTTATTAAAATAAACCTTATGGGAGACAGCTGCATACTGCAGGTTGGGTTAAACTAGTGCTAAAGTAGATTAATCTGATAGAGCAGGATAGGACACAGAGGAGATTGTTAACAACAGTATATCTGTATAAATTAACTTGTTTCCTTTGAAAAAAAAAACAAGTACTGTAAATGCTGTGTAAGAGATCTGTGTATAGTGTGAATCACATGAACAAGAGGATCCAAGCTGTTCTCCTCCCAGTTATTGCACAACAGAGTATAGCACATCTGAGTTTAGATTTGCCATGCCAACCAAGCTGGATTTTGCTGGGACAAGCATTGTTCCCCCTGGTCACCAAACACGATAGCTACTTTGAGACAACTTTTGTTTTGTGACATGGTGCATTCACATGCTGGAAGTAGCAATTAGAAGATGGTAAATTGTGACCATAAAGGTCTGCAACATGGTCAGCAACAATACTCATTCAAACCATGACTGATTGGTATTAAGAGGCCCGAAGTGTGCCTAGAAAACATTCCCAACACCATTATACCACCACCACCTGTCTGGACACAAGGCAGGTTGGTAAATCCAATCCAAAATCTGACCCTACCATCTGCTACCTCGGCAGAAATCCAATTTCATCAAACCAGGCTATGTTTTTTCTAGATGTCAACTGTCCTAGTTTTGGTGAGCCTTAGCCCACTGCAGCCTCATGTTTCTGTTCTCGGTAGACAGGAAGTAGAACCTGACATGGTTTTCTGCTGCTGTGGCCCATCTGCCTCATGTTTCAAAATGTTGTGTATTTAGAGATTCTTGTCTGCTTACCACAAATGTAAAGAGTGGTCATCTGAGTTACTGTAACCTTTCCATTAGGTCCAACAAATCTCATTCTCCTCCAATCTCTCATCAACAAGGTGTTTCCGTCCACAGATCTGCCGTTTACCGGATGTTTTTTGTTTTTGGCACCATTCTCAGTAAACTAGAGACTGTTGTGTGTAAAAATCTCAGATCAGCAGTTTCAGAAATACTCAAACCAACCTGTCTGGCACCAACAATCATGCAATCAAAGTCCCCACTCTTTGATGTGAGGATTAACTGAAGCTCCTGGCCTGTATCTGCATGATGTTATGTGTTGTCCTACTGCCACATGAATGACGGGATGATTTGATTGAATAAATAATTGCATGAATAAGCAGGTGTGCACATGTTCCTAATAAAAGTGTTCAGTGAATCTGTTTAATGTTGTGGTAAAACATCAGCTTTAATGTGATTAATGCTGTTAATCCCACTGAAGCCACATCATACATAATTTACACACATAATTTACAACCTGAAATTCGCCTACACAAAATCATAGGGGGAAAGGGAACCAATACCACCCACTATTAGAGAGAAATACCCAAGTTAGTTCATATTTGCACAAATATCTATTAAAAGCATAATCATAGTGTAGTTTAAATATTGTACTGTATATAAGCTTTAAAAGGTCCCATATTGTAGAGAGTGAGAGTTATGATTATAAAGCAGGTCTAAGTGCTATATAAATAATGTGAAACTAAAAAAAGTGAGTAATCCGTGTGCAAAAAGTACACAGCACATATTCAAAAAACTGTCTTAAAATGAGCTGTCAGGACTTTGACTTTGTGATATCACAACAAAAATGTCACCACCCCTCAGCTATCTCCCCAGCATGGCCCACCTGGACCCGGAGTCCAAACCTGCAGGATCTGATTTCTCTCTAGTTTTTACCTGAAATCTTCTATATTTTCATTCAATCACTCCAGGGAGAAGCCAAAAGAGACACCAGAAAAGTGTAAAATGTGGCATCTTTAAAATGTGATGTTTTGTAAATCACTATAGTAAAACCTTGACTGACTCGAACTAGCACAGTAACTGTAGTAACTGTACAAGTTTGAGAACAAGAGTTAGCAAATTTCCCGCAAAGGGTTTACAGTGTTCATTCACAGATTGACAGGAAAGACTGAGCAGGAATGTTCACTTGGAATTGAGCAGTACTCAGGCTGGGCATCCGTCCAGTTCCAAAGCATTACGCAGCTTTTTATCAGTGGCTTCTAAACAAATAATCTGAAATATCAGAATGTTTGTCATCTGTGTTTGAGGGTGATAGAGCGAGGGAGGCAGAGAGGGGAAAGAAGAGGCAAAGAGAGGAAGGGAGACGGACTTTTATAAATATAAGGTAGTGTGAAATTTGGCTTAAAGAGGAAAGAAAAAGTTTCAAAGCCTCTTGTGACCCGTCGGTGTCCTTGGACAGAAGTGATCCAGTAAGTTTTCAGCTTCTGTTCTGTTTCAGGCTGTTGTTGCAGCCTTTTCTCCTGTAGCATTTTCAGTCTGGCTTGTAGTACATGTTCATTTCTGACTGTTGTTTATGTTTGTGTTCTTCAGCCATGGGTCTGAGTTCAACAGTGGGAAGTCTTCTAATTTCGGGTTTCATCGGGTTATATGGGATCTGTACTGGATTTGAGCATGGTGAGCTGAGTCACACTTTTCTCATAACTACACAGAACTAAATAAATACTACTATAACTCTGAACACACACACACACACATATATATATATATATATATACATATACACACACACACACATATACACAAGTTTTGTCACATATACACGAGTTTTGTCAGGCTAATTTTGGGGTTTCTTGGAAAACGCGAAGTCTGCCAGGCTGCTATTGTAATCAAAGTGCACATGATAAGGTGCAGCATGTTTAGTGCTACAAGTCAGGCATCTGTGCAGCTATATATCCCTGAGCTACTAGTTGAATGCCGGAGAAGAAAATTCAACAAGAAGGAATGGTCTGATGCAGTAAAAATATATTCAAGAGCAAATATAAGCACACTAAGCATAAGAAAAGACCCTAAAACTAACCTCTTAAGACCTACTTAAAATTTCCTATAAAGTCACTTTAAAGAAAGGTGAAGCAAACCGTTTTTTTGGTCATGAAATCTACTAATGAAATTGCCTAGCCTTGCCTGCCAAACAATTATTTCTTGCTGGAAAAATCTCAGATTTGACATTGAAAAAGTTTGCTCAGAGCTCTATCTACTGAATGGCTGAATAAATGACAAATCCATTCTCCACTGATGTGTTTATTCCAGAGAACTGTACCAACTACAAGACCCAGTTTGAGAGGGTTATCTTGGTTTCTGGGGACATGGCTATGCTGAATAGCACCTTAGTATCTCCAGATGTCTTTGACATCACAACTGTCCCATACAGCATCACCTGGTATGACCCAAAGACGGGTCAATTAATGAGCAACCAGACCGGTCGAACCCTTGTGCATGGAGAGACTCTGTGGTTTCTTAACGCAACGCTGGAGGACAGTGGGGAATATGTGACCATACTGAGGTACGGTCACTGATTTTGTGTGTCTATCAAAATTTTATTAATTTTTGTTCACTGGGTCTGTCACTTTTTAATCAAATTTGGAAAAAGCAATACCATTTGAAATAGTTTGCCTCATGGTCCACCAGAGGGTGTGATCAGCTTGATCATTCCATCATTTCCATCCAAATTTTTGTGATATGTTTTAACCGAATTTTCAGCAAGTCAGCAAAAGAAAATGCAATTCCCTCATCCTGAAGTCTATTAGTTACTAACTATTAGTTTTTGGTTACATGACTAATATTAGATCTGAGGTTAACATAAGTTCAAGACACTTTCACATTTTACTCTGCGACATAAAATACATGAGCAAATTCCTGTCATGATCTCTTCAAAAGGGCCAGTTGTTAACAAGTGGCTAAATGAGACTACAGAGGTTGTCAGGGACGTTAAACATCATCATGCTGAAGACAAAACCAATCTACTACTAAAAAATAAGTGGATTTGTATGCAATGATATGCAGCACATTGGGAATGGGAACTGAAAAGTTTGATAGGGGGGTGTTGTCCTTAACCTGACAAGCATTTGATTCATCTGCTCATTGCTTATTCGATGTAAAATTTGAAAAAAAATTCTCATTCATTTTCCAACAGAACTCCTTTTCACTGCTACATGCAGGCCACCAGCCTGTTAGTGGAACCACCAGTTGCTGGAGAGTGTGGAAACCCAAGGAAAGTTGATCAATCACTTACACTTGGAGTCGCTGACACCCTGTCCTGCCCTCTGAAGGACTATATCAATAAACTGGACAGCTACAACATCAGTTCCTCCCTCACGTGGTACAGAGTGAGTTATGGGAAAGTTAAGCACTGACATAAAATACTCAGTCATTGAGTTTACTCCAGATGTTTTTACTCAGCCAGATCTATATAGACAATTTAACATAACAATTATAGTATGTGTCAGTTTGGCAAATTAAGAACATATATTTCACAATGAGTAAGTAATCTAACAGATTCAAGTTATGTTAATAAAAAAACATTTTTTTATACCTACTGCCACTACTTCAACTTCATTTATTTGGAAACTTTCTGGCTGTCTACATTCCTAAAAAAGTCTCTTTTTGTCATTATTAAAAGCCTGACCTTTGTGTTTCTCTTACTCATCTAGGGTTGTGAGCCCATAGTGGAGGGGAAAGATGGGTATAGCTACAGGGATAGGACCAAAATTTCAATTAAAAAGGTGGAAGAGCAACACAACAGCACCCACACCTGTACTCTGACCTTCACCCTCGGTGGCATCACGGGATCCGTGTCAGAGACAATTGAAACAAAGGTCACAGGTCAGAATGGAGATAAGTGCTTCAGTGTGCAAGAGAGGGACTGTAGGCCGTTTGTCCTATAGGGGAATAAACTTCAATAGAGAAATAAAGAGGTGGAAATTATTCCCATGACCCTAAACTGATTCACAAGCAACAGTTTGAGGAGCTGTAAGAGAGCTAGTAACTAAAGGATGCCATGGTGTGGAAATTATCTCACTAATTCATAACAACAGTGGTCATACCGATTACACTGGATTACTGTTACCTTCAGATGCTGCCACCTTCATCAGACAAAATTTGCAGATTGCCTCATTAGTGTTATCAGGTTCCCTTTCGGCATTTAAATATGTAATATTGTCAAGTAGATGCTTTTGCTTTTCGCATTGACACCAAATCCTCCACCATCATCTTGTAAGTCAACTCTCCTCTCGTCACGTGACAATCCTACTTGTAACACTTTGGTGTCATTCCATATGCTGTATATTTCCATGATTAGACAACCTCCACCTCTGTTACTGTACTGTATTTATTGTTGGCTCTCTTTTCAGCTGTGTACTCTATGGTTCCACAAGTGCATGAACCAGCCAATGAAATAATCAAGGCACAGATGGGTGAGTCCTTGTCTGTAACATATTCTGAGAAATATGGTGTTTTACAGTTTAAATGTTTATTGTTGGCTCAGGATTTGTTCATGCAAGTGTACAGTTCACGTAGAATACCTTGTCATGTGAATTGTAGTATTCTATGTTTTCCTCACAATTGTCAAATCTGACTAAAATAACTATAGCTGTGTTAAATTTACAGGATTGTAAAATTCTGTCTCACTGTATCATCAACCACAAAATGGACTTTCTAGATCGCTGAAATTCAACTTTTCACTGGTACCCGTTTATCAACACAAACACAGTTTTCGGTCTGAACACCCACTCGGTTTAATGCCCCTTGTGTGCATACATTTGCTGTGTACTAATCTGTTTGAGAAACACTACTTGGAAAATACTGTATTTTGCAACTTTAAATTTAGGGTTATAGATGTTGTCATGTGTTTAGGGTCCAGTTTCACCAAACGGTGCCGTGTGTTTGTGCCGGGTATCGGGACGCACTTTATTGATGTCATTTGGTCAGGCAGAGATTACATTTTCAATGCCGACCCCTCTGACCGAGTCTACACATCAGAACAACGGTCAGTACTTTTACTTGTCCTTCTATTTGCTTTGTTTATCTGCTGCTTTTGGGGGACAACAATTGAATAATAAGTAAAGTTCATGTTGACACTCTTGCTCTAATCAAGCACAGTACCATCACATCTGTTGCATTACTTCTCTTTTTTCTTATCGATCTGTTCTCACCAGTTTGTCGATACAGCATAGTCCTAAACCAGGTTTCTGGTTGGAGCGTCTGTTGACGGTTTCTGAGCTGAGGGAAGAAGATTTTCACATCAACTACACTTGTATAGTGTTCAGTTCCCACGGCATGCCTAAGGGATATTTTACTCTGCTACCAGCAGGTAGAAAATAAGCGATAAACCGAGATTAATTAGTCAGCCGATTAACTGTTTGTTTGTTTTTTCACAATCTTAGTTTTTTTTTGATAACCTGTGGATATGTTATTCAAAATAATAAGTAAAGTGCATATCTACTTAAGCAAACATACAGAGACAATGCACATTTTTCAAATGTTTGTTCAAGTAAATAATACATTTGTGTTAAATAAATATTCATTTAAGTTCAGCAATTTTGTTTCTCATTTTTAAGTGACTTTTCTCAGACTTTCAGACACCACTCTATATATCATGATATTTATGAAGTATAATCCCCTATAATTACAAAATTCAATTCATCAGTGAAGGTAAGACTAAGTTTATTTCCTTGTTGAGTGATGACAAGTACAGGGTATAGGTTGACATGAGGGCATTAGACAGACAAAGAAAGATAAGGTGGCAGAGGGAAAGACAAATGTGTACTGTAATAACAACTCCTATTCCACAAATGTAAAAGTGGCTTCACTTTCTATGGTGCAATTTCCAGAGAAGAAACATCATTCATCATCAGTGCAGTACGATAAGGTCACTCCAAAAATATATTCTTGAGATCACAAAGGCCTATAGAAACCCATCCATCCATCCACCCACCCACATCCTTTTCAGGGTTGTGCGGGACTGGCATGCCCAGTGTGCCCTGAGTGAAAGGCAGATATAAACAGTTGAACACAAAAATAAAGTTTTATGGTTAAAACAGTGATAACTTACATTGATATTTTTTACCAACTTGGCTCAGGTTTGTGACAACATAGGTCCACATAACAAGTCAAATGGTTTGATTTAATTACTGAGAAAAACAATATGGAGAGTGAAGATACAGATGTAGTCAGTAGGGTGAGGCATGTATGGATGAATGAAAGTATGTATGTGAGTGTTGTAACAGATGCAAGCCCAAAACAAACTAAAAATGTGTGCATGCCATAAGAATAGCCCCTCCCTTCTATCAGGTACAGGCAGTTGCTCTGACTAACCACACAGGCTCCTACAAGAAAAAAAACAGAGCAGCACAGTAAGCCAGAACAGGCAGGCCATCACAGTATTGATTTCACAACTTCAACTTATAGGCCTTCAGATAACATTTTACTAATGTGATGGTGGGTTTATTGGTTAAGGATTTGTTTATCAGTTAATTTTTGGGTATTTTCATGTCAAGTTGTATCTATGTGCAGCCACAAGAGGTCTCAACAGGAAAGTGTTTTAAATGCAGACTCTAATGACTCTTTAATAAAAACCATATGGGAGACAACGGCACGCTACAGATGGATTAATCTGACAAAATAGGGTAGGACACAGAAAAGATTGTTTAAAGCAGTAAAGTTACATAAATGAACTTGTCTCCTTTAAAAAAACAAAACAAAACAAAAAAACAAGTGCTGTAAATGCTATGTAAGAGAGCTGCATATAGTGTGAATCACATGAACAAGAGGATCCAAGCTGCGCTCCTCCCAGTTATTGCGCAACAGATTAGGACACTAGCTGGCTTTCAAAAGATCCCAGAAAAGGAAATTGCAACATGTGCTGAAGTCTAAAACAGAAGAGGAAGTCAAAGCTGGGGAGGACATGTCTGAGCTTAGATTTAAGTATTTCTTTTTCTTTGTTTTTTTTCTTTTCAAAAAAGATGTCTACAGGATGTTTTACAGGATTTTCATGTGACCCGAGGAGGCTGTTGCCTTTACGAACTGACTAGAGTGACATCAAGCTGGTGAGTTCCTTGTAATGTTAATACTCTGCATAATCAGAATTCCTGGCATCGTTATTACTGTCAAACAAAATCAATGTGCCATGCCAAACAACCTGGATTTGGTGCCTCTGGTCACCAAGCTCCAGAACTACTTCAGCACGTTTTTTGGTTTTTTTTTTTTTTTAAATATATTCAACAGGATTCCAGGTATTTCCGAGACAGATGAAGGGGGTGTATTTCCAGGGGTTGAATGGAGAGGTAGAACAACATAACTTTACAGTAACTATACAAATTCAAATGATTTTTTTCAACCATGTTTTTCCCAAATTTATGTAGCTATCCAAATATTTTCAACAAATCTTTGCTCATATGACCCCACCTGCAGAAATTCCCATCCTATTGGAATTTTTTTAAGTTGAGTTCTACTGTAAGTTAAAAAAAGTAAAAAATAAAATTATATATATATATATACACTGTATATGCACATGCTTATGATTGACTCATGGGTGACTCAATACTATTTTTTTGTGGCATTATGGAGCAATCTAACATAATGCCACTTGTGGTCAAAACCAATCAGGGCAGTGAATCAAAGGCACTTCTTATCACTCCAATCATCCATTTAGACATGATTAACCCCCTCATTCATCACTGACAGTCTATTTATTTGATTTTTCAACAAAAAAAAATTCCTACATCACTCCTTAAAGTTTCAGCAAGGTTTGAACAGAATAGGCTAAAACACTGAGTACAAGTATCAACTTTCAAAAAGCACATCCAGCTCTACTCAACAACTATCCACACGATCAAAAGGCACATCATTAGGCGACTGCACACTGCATCCTTGTGAAACACACTGATAATGTCTCATTCATTTACTGGCATATTCTTACCTGCCCCAAATTCTAACCACAAAGAAATCCCCTGGTTTGTAGGGTGGAAAAAAAAAGAAGAAAAACACACTTGTGGTCAAAATGTTTTTGCTTAATAAAAACCCAGCACGAGCTGGGATGTGTGCTTGAACTGCTACTTTGTGGTCGTGAATGTAGTTCACATATTCCACAGGTTTTTAGGGACTGAGTCATAGTTGAGATACTGCCAGTCTCCTGGGGATTCCTCCACCACGTGGGGAAGCCCAGGTGTGGCTTCAAACCTCTTCATAACTGTACTTTGCACTTGCTTGTTTGAAGAATTGCCATTAGATGAGTTTAACATTTAAGTGATGGGAACCGAAATAGTGGTGGTAGACGAAATGCTTCCTTTTAGTCATTCACTTCCTTTTGTTCTTCAGAGATTGTAGACATTTTTAATCACAGTTAGTCATTAAACTTCTAAGTGAAAATTAGCTGATTTATAGATTTTTGAAAACAAGGATTTCTTTAAACATTTTAACATAACTCAGGGGATATTAAAATCTTTGTAGCTTCTCACAGCAACATCATTTTGTGGTTGTTGAGATAGAAGATGAAAGGCACAAATTTTCAGTCATATCTATATCTACAAACGTGATTATGTTCTGTAAGTTAATGAAACTGCAGTGGCAACTGTTTGGTCATCTGTTCTGTGACAAATATTTCTGGTCTAAACACTGTGTTAAAATATTTAAGTTGAGGTTTAGGTGCAATATTGCCGTAAAGGTTAAGGTAAGTTATTCTATGGTGAGTTAATGGTTTGTTATTTTGGTTAATGCAAGCCGTTTTCGACAAGGTTATGTTAGGATTGGTGAGGGTTAGCGGAAGTTTTTGTTGAGTGTTGAAATTCAAAAGGAAGGTGAAGAGAGGGTTGAGAGTTGCAATCCAAACACACTTTTCCTCCTCTTTGTCTGTGCTGTTTGTGCTTTCATCTCATGGAGGTGGGACAGGGCTGATGAATCATTGGTTGAGCTGTGCGGTCGAGCCTACACTCTGCACGCAAGGGTCAGGGTTGAGGTTTCCCTCTGTCAGCTCTGCTCTGTCGCATAAACTCATTCATCCTTCCTCCGTCTGTTTGACGCCTGTAAGTTGCTTTCTCTGAGGTGAGTCAATACATTCTGCTCACTTTTGGAACACACTATCAAGAAAAGCGTGTATACTCTTTTAGAGAAGTGTGTTGTAATTCTAACCACAAAGGACACATTTCCTTTTACACTTGAATCCAATAACAATCTATTTTTAAGGTATGTATTGATAGTAATATTGATTTCATTTTCTCCTCCTAAAGAAAACAATAGGTACTTAAAATCAGTCGCATTGCTTTGAGATTAAAAAAAAAAAAAAAGAAAAAGCAAAGATTGTTCTAGAAAAATCAACATTTCAATTATTATTACAGTTGTTCAATGTTGGTTTGCATTCCTCAAGAGCCTCCTGGGTACCAGCAAGTTATGTCAAATATTTGGATAAAGCATGTTTTTCTCACTGCATGTGTTTTTCACTGTCAAAGCTGTGCAGGTGTTTTCTCTACAACAGTGTCTGAGCCATGTACATGGAACACAGCAACAGGAATACAACGTAATTGCCCATAAATAATTACCACAGCACAGAAATGAAACTAAAGGAGGTTAATTAATATATTAGGGCTTTGATACATGTGGGTTTTTATTAATGAATAACTTGTCTGTACATCTCGACTTCTCTTACATTACTTGATCCACTGCAGTTTGTTAAAATGGTTTAATTTGCTCTGACGGCAGAAGACTGAACCGTTTATCATTTTCACACTCTTTGACAACTTTGTATTATTACAGTATGTCGCAATAACGCAAGCTTTTCTGTGTAGTGTTTGTGTAGTTTTAAAGCCACGGTGGAAAAAGTAGTGGTGAATAAACATGCTAGCAGTCTCAGAGAGCATCTCACCACAAAACCAAAGAGGGAAACGTGTTTATTACTGAGAAATATACTTTCACTTGTGGCTGAAAACAGCTCTGTCCTCAGTGTCAAACATCACATTCGGTCAAGCGGGTCATTTTCTCGTGCTCTGCTGTAGGAAAGATAACTCCCACTGTTTTCCCTCTTTATTACTAAGTGAGTCATGAAGTTTGATTACATCCCACAGGCTAGATAGCTTCAACTTAATCTCCATCAATCCTAATTCAGAGACTGCATTGATCACACAAGCTGCTCTTAAATGATATTTCCAACATAATGTCTGCAATTTTTCTTGTTTCCACACTTAAGGGCTGAAATTTGTCAATTATATTAGAATTTTCCCACGTTGTTTCGTCCCTAATCAGTCCAGCAGAAGAGTATTTGCTGCTGTATCTTTAAATTTCCAGTGCCTGCTAATACTCCGTCTTCAATTTCAACTATATTTTCCCAGAGAAGGTTAAAAATAAAGTGGTTTAGCTGAGGAACATGATCATCAGCAGATAATCGTGGAGTGTTCCTCTAATGGCCACCATGTTTCTATTCGCCAAAGAAAATAGTCCTGACCTGACATTTAACAGTCAACGTGTAGTAGCATAACTCTAAGCAAGTTGTTGCATGTACTGCAGGTTGTGCTGAGGGCTGTATTGAGGACCTGAGTTTCAATTCTCCATCACAACTTGGGAACACATCCTGTTCCCCTTCAAAAGGAAAAGTTTTTTGCTTTGCTTAGCACTTCTCCATCACTCTAGTAACATAAGAACAGGCCTCGTTTCCCAAAAGCATCTTATGGCTAAGATGATCTAAGATGATCTTTGTTCCTTTTTAATTCTACAGGCTGAGAGGAGAGGATAGTCTTTGAAGTAATTTCAAGAGATTAGCCCAACTTTGTTCAGTTCAAATCAGTCCCAAAACCAAATGCACTCGAGTTCTAATCCAGATTGGGCCAAAGTAGGGTGAAAGCTTCAAACTAAACATGTTCAGTTTAGACAAATAAATTAGTCAATCAAAAGGAAATTGACAAAAATATTGATCGTTAGTAATTTATCAAGCCTAAATGCTTTTGCATTTTCTTCTTTAAGTTTCTCGAGGGGGAGGATTTGCTGCTATTCTCTGATTTATATCATTCGGGGATGAAACAATTGGTTAATTAATCAATTAAGTCAATCAACAAAAAGAAAAAAAAAAAAAACATCAATTAATTAATAATAGTGATTCTTTTTCAAGCAAAAATGCATTGTCTGATTTCAGATTGGTCATCATGAGATACTGAACTAAATATTTTTGGGTTCTGGATGTGTGGCTGGATTAAAAAAAGAATCTGAGGAAGCCACTTTGAGCTCTGGAAAATTGCAATATCAATTTTTCTTTATTTTCCAACCTGTTATAGAACAAATGATTAATCATTTACTCAACAAAATACACAGGAGCTTAATCAATGATGAAAAGAACCACACCAGCCACAATATCACTGTAATTTGAATGTCTTTGGGATTTAGACTGATTACTGGAAAAAAACAAGCAGTTTGACGATGTCATCTTCACCTCTGAGAGCTTGTGATGGGCATTTTGTAAACAGAACAATAAAGAAATATACTAATTAATCATAACAAATAATACTGCAGCCCTCAGTCATTCACATAAATACATGGTTTTGCTAATCAAATTGATAAAATCTCTGGTGCTGGGGAGGAAATGAGACACAGTGGAACAGATGGAGTCTGGGCCATGTGGGAGTGCTAGCTGTAATTTTTCCCTCCAGGAGTTTTGCGTTGATCCACTCAATCGCAGTTTCAGCTATGAGTGTGAGTGAAGAACAGCAGGTGGAAGTACATCTTGCTGCTGCTGCCTCACGTTTGTTTTGTCAGTGAATCATAAGTGGGGACTGCATGTTCATGACTCACACCAGGACAGCAGCTCAGTTGGACACGTATATGCATTAATCAAAACAAAATCACTGCCAGTGTTACTTTCCATTGTGGTTTTCTGTTCTGTTTGTTTCCAGTTTAACCTTTAAATTGTGAGGATTTGCTCTTGTATTACTCAGCTTTGTGTCGGGACTTTTACATATTGAAACTAGGATATCTCATTGTCTACAATAAACAACAAAAGCAGCAATAAAATATTTTTATTTGCGTACGTCATCTCAAAAATTGCCAACATAACATTGAATTGGAAATA